TCCATTCAGTTGTTAACTTGGAAGGCTGTTTTCTGGTGGCGGTAACATCTGGACGTAGGGTCGGCGATTTACATGCTATGTCGTCCGACCCGCGCTGACTGTGTTTCACACTGATCGTGTCAGCATTCGCCTCCCGGATACTTACCACCAAGGTCGACATCACGCTTTCCATGTGACAGCTCCTATCGAACTTCCCACTCTTACCCAGCCTTCCACATCGGGACCTCTCCTACGAAAGCACTCACCCGCTGGATGTCCGTGAAGACGCTAAAGTCTTTGTCTCGCTGGCTCGCTTCGTGTATTTGTGCCGCGCTTATCAGGCTAAGGGCAAGCCTCCCCTGAGGGGTTTGAAGGCTCACTTTCGGTCAGGCAGTAGCCGCGATCAAAGGCTTTTGCATCGCACTCCCATTAAAGAGATCTGCTCTGCCGCTATTTGGAGCGGCCAAGACGCTTTATCACGGCACTATCAGCTCGATACACATTCCCGTAATCGCGGCGAAGCTTTGGCCGTTTGTTCTCTCCAGTGGACAGTGTCCTGCCACCCTGACCAAGTGAGTCTTGGTTCATTGGTTTGTTTATTGACGCTGCTGTACAATAATGTGTATTATTGACTATCCGCTACTAGGAGCTAACTACCCCCTTTCGATTCTCTCAGGAGTTATTAAGTCGATTGTGAGCGGTTTTGACATTCCCCCACGGTGCTCACTAATCGACACGTGGTGGGTGGGGTTTTGTTGACATTCGTACCATGTGCGATTGACTATGCTAAACGTATGGAGGTCGTCTTTGTGCACAATTCGTCCCTGTCAGTTCCCCTCCCATAATGCCTCTCGCGGAAGCGCAACTGGGACAAGTGACAGGTGAGTGTGATGGCGTCTGTTCAATTTTTTTCCATGATACGATCGCTATTTGTGTGTGCTTGGACAGAATTCCCTCCTCCTGGCCTCCGGTCTTTGGGAGTCTGTGTTTATGCATACTAGTAATATGTACCCCAAGGACGATCTCTATGAAGACCTTGCTGGCCCTCCCATTCCGTCTGGGAGCGACCCTCTTTCCAGGGGCACAGCAGGTCATTCGGGAGGCTGCCGCTGCAGCTACCTCCTTCAAGGACTCTAAGGCCTTGTTGGAGCAGCTGCGGGTGTCTCGCTTCGCCTGCTCCACCTTTCCTCCGGGTGCAGCCTACACCCGAAGCCTGCCGGGCTGGCTTCGACGCTTTTGGTAGGGGTAGGCGGAGGAACCGGTCCGCCAAGGGTAGGGGCAAGGAGCAGTCCTCGTCGACTAGCTCCCAGCCTTTTCGCGGGCGCGGGAGGTCTGCCCCGACCTCCCGTTAACCCATCAGGCTGTCGCTCAAGCCGTGTGTCACGCCCAGTCAGCTCCGCTTACAAGGGACAACGACACGCCCTACCCCATATCCTAGTGGGAGGCCGCTTCTCTATTCCTGCCGGAATGGGAGAAGGCTACCAACAATGCTTGGGTGCTGTCCACCGCCAACATCGGCCATTTACCACTGTGGAAGCGAGGTCCGCCGACTTCACCGCATACGCCGCGACTCCGGTGCCGCCATGTCAGGCAAGGGCGGACATATTATGCGACGGTTCAGGCTCTGCTGGACAAGTCCGCTAATCGAGCCGCATTCCACCGAGAGGAACAGGCGGATTTTACTCCACGCACTTCCTCGCCCGAAGAAAGACGCGGGTTCCGCCCCATTCTCAACCTCAAGGGGTTGAACCGCGATGCTAGAAGTACCATCCTTCAAGATGGAGACACTCGCGCCGGTGATCTCATCTGTTCAGCCCGGCGATTGGCTCACGCCAATCGACCTAAAGGATGCGTGATTCAGATGTGCCCATACATCCATCGTTCAAGCAGTACCTTCGGTTCTCTTACGACGGATGTATTACCAATTCAGGGTGCTCCCCTTCGGCATATCGACTGCCCCAACGGTGTTCACCAAGCTCATGTTCACCAAGCTACCCTCGCCGCCAAGTAAGGAAGGCGTTGTTACCCTTACCTCGACGACTGGTTGCTCGGAGCACTAACACAGCCAGCGAAGTCCAGATGCTACTCACACAGTGATAGACATTCTAATTCGCCTGGGGTGGATCATCAACCTCAAGAAATCCGACCTGGTACCCACCCAGGACTCGGTTTTTCTTGGGGTGCGATTCCAAACAAACAAGGATCTCGCTTCCTTGTCGCCCCGACCGATCACCAGAGTTCGGGAGAAGCTTTGGCTCGGCTGTGGACTCACACGGAGGATCTGGAGCGCAGTCTCACAGTCCCCGAGTGGTTGACACCTCACCTTCAGTGGTGGACAACTGTCGGGAATCTCACCAGGGGGTTCCCCTTGGAAATCCCGACGCCAGCTCTCACAGTTCAGACCGATGCGTCCCTCACGGGCTGGGGGGGTGTTCTGGGCAGTCTGTCGGCGTCCGGACTCTGGTCCGAAGCCAAAGCCCACCTTCACATCAACATGTTGGAACTGAGAGCTGGTTGGTTTTCGAGTGCTTCAGAGAGCATGTCCGTGGCCATGTAGTCCGTCTTCAGTTCGACAACCAGACGGCCATGTCGTACATCCTGAAGCGGGGCGGCACGGTGTCCCGAGCGCTCCTCCTCTGGTGCGACCAGTACGATTGTCAGGTACTCCCTGTTTATCTCCCGGGGCTGGAGAACGTGCGAGCAGACACGCCTTCGCCGATCCTGGCCCCAAGACGCAGTGGATGCTCGACAGGCAGATTTTCAGAGTAATCTCCCAGTTGTAACGGTCGCTCCAGGTGGATCTGTTTGCGTCCGGCGGGACGAATCAGACACCCGTGTTCTGCTCTCGAATACCGGACCCAGGGGCGTTGGCTGCCGACGCCTTCCTGCTGGATTGGACGGGCAAAGTGCTCTGGGCGTTCCCGCCGTTACCACTCATTCCCTGTGTCCTTTCACAGCTGTCCACCCAGCCAGCTCGGCTGCTTGTGCTACTGGCACCGCTTTGGCCATCACAGAGCTGGTTTCCGGTAATTCTCAGGTTTCTGGCTCAGCCTCCTGTTCTATTACCTTAACAACCGGACATTCTCACTCAGAACGGAGCTGCCCACCCAAATCCACGGATTCAGTGGGTGGCTTGGCCTCTGTCAGGTCTAACCTCGAGGCACGCTGAATTCCTGCAGCAGTTGCAGACACAATTCTGGCTTCGGTATGGATTCACAAACGCTCAGTATGAGGATAGGTGGTCCGCTATGGCAGCCATGCTCAGATAGGGGATTGCAGATCCCTTTTCTCGCGGATTTAGTCCGAGTATTGGAGTTTTTGCAAGCTCGCTTGGAAGAAGGCCTGGCGGCTTCGACCACCGCAGGGCTACTCCACCGCTATTTCCACTTTTCACACCCCTGTCGATGGTGCTCTTCTGGGGCAGCACCTCTCGCATTAACGCTTTCGCTGGCGCTGAACGGGTTCGACCTGCTCTCAGGCTTAACCAGTCCACCTTTGGGATTTGTCAATTGTGCTCGATTGGCTGTCGGTCCTACTTTCTCACACGCACGGCTATTTCCATTCAGTTGTTAACTTGGAAGGCTGTTTTTCTGGTGGCGGTAACATCTGGACGTAGGGTCGGCGATTTACATGCTATGTCGTCCGACCCGGCGCTGACTGTGTTTCACACTGATCGTGTCAGTATTCGCCTCCCGGATACTTACCGCCCGAAGGTCGATCACGCCTTTCCATGTGACAGCTCCTATCGAACTTCCCACTCTTACCCAGCCTTCCACATCGGGACCTCTCTCCTACGAGCACTCACCCGTTGGATGTCCGTGAAGACGCTAAAGTCTTTGTCTCGCTGGCTCGCTTTCGCGGTATTTGTGCCGCTTATCAGGCTAAGGGCAAGCCTCCCCCTGAGGGGTTGAAGGCTCACTCGGTCAGGGCAGTAGCCGCATCAAAAGCTTTTGCATCGGCACTCCCCATTGAAGAGATCTGCTCTGCCGCTATTTGGAGCCGGCCAAGACGCTTATACGGCACTATCAGCTCGATACACATTCCCGTAATCGCGGCGAAGCTTTGGCCGTTTGTTCTCTCCAGTGGACAGTGTCCTGCCACCCTGACCAAGTGAGTCTTGGTTCATTGGTTTGTTTATTGACGCTGCTGTACAATAATGTGTATTATTGACTATCCGCTACTAGGAGCTAACTACCCCTTTCGATTCTCTCAGGAGTTATTAAGTCGATTGAGCGGTTTTGACATTCCCACGGTGCTCACTAATCGACACGTGGTGGGTGGGGTTTTGTTGACATTCGCATTCATGTGCATTGACTATGCTAAACGTATGGAGGTCGCTCTTTTGTGCACAATTCGCCCCTGTCAGTTCCCTCCCATAATGCCTCTGTGAAGGAAGCCAACTGGGACAAGTGACAGGTGAGTGTGATGGCGCTCTGTTCAATTTTTTTTCCATGATAATGATCGCTATTTGTGTGTGCTTGGACAGAATTCCTCCTCCTGGCCTCCTCCGGTCTTTGGGAGTCTGTGTTTATGCATACTAGTAATATGTACCCCAAGGACGATCTCTATGAAGAAGAATTAACCAAACCTGAAGAGGTTTTAAATTCTTCAAGAGAGTCGCCCTTAGGGTAGTGGGCCTCCCGGCCTCCCCGCAATTCTGTTCACTGATATATTCAGCAGAAGGAATGATGATACGGGCCTAGGAGCTTACCCAGTTGGTGCGCATGCGTAACGGGAGGTAACTCCGTAGGTGGGGGCCGTATAATAAATAAAGGAGTTTATTTATTGTACAATCTTTTTATTCAAAAACATTGATACAACTGTCACAGGACATTTTCAGCTTGGAAAATGCATAATATGTACCCCAAGGACGACTCTCTTCGAAGAATTGAAAACCTCTTCAGGTTTGGTTAAATTTCTTTCAAGTGAGGTGAATGAGTATTTCACTGTTTTGCAAACAGATGCGTCTGTTTCCGGATGTGAATACTTGCATTATATCACATATATATTCTGTGTTTTAGAGAGAATTTTTCCCGACTGCTTGATGACAAGACATTTAAGGAGGAAATAATAGCATTCAGTATCGACCCTGGCAACACGCAGATCAAAGCGGATCACAGACAGAACCTCCTGCCAGTACTCATGGGGTAAGGAGGTTGTACATGTAGGGACTTGTTGGACTGTGTATTGCTGGACACTATGCATCACCTGACATTGTAGTGTGGAATATTAGGAAGCCAGGAGCCTACATAACTAGAGGCACATAGAACATTGATTAGACAAACTTCATGGATTCTTTGTATTTTGTGAGTGCGACATTTCGGTACAGATACTTGTACCATTGTCAAGCAAGAATGACGGTACAAGAGTCTGTACCGAAAAGTCGCATTCATGAAATATAAAGTAATTATGTATGAAGGTTGTCTATGTTGTACTTCTCAACTTCTACAATGCAACTCAAAGAAGTCACTATTCATAAGCCGTCTAAGTAAACTTAGGCTCAGTATTATTCGTTACACTGTTATACTGAGTCTAACAAACCCGATTAACGAATAATACTGAGCCTAAGTTTACTTAGACTGTACTCATAAGTTACACAACCCTCATATTTGCTGTAGAGCTTTGAAATTAATTTATAATGTCATGAGTAGAGTACAGTACTGTTAGATTTCATAATAACTTTTGCAATGTTTTGAAATTTTTATCACCCTATGCCCTGTCTAGTTTCCTTTGTAGTTTGATGGCCAGGAGGAATGTGACAGTTTTAATGTCATCGGTTGCAGGGTTCTGTATGGGCGAATGCAGAGTCGTATTGGCAAGGAGACGGCAGGGAAAGCCAAGAGTAATGTCCGACGTGCTGTTGTGTTCCGCTTCCTGGCTGGGTGCAGCACAGCAGAACTCAAGGTTTTCCTTGATCTCGTGTTCCAGCCCTTGCTCAACTTTGTACAAGGTAAATCATAGGCAGTCGCATTAATCTGAAATCGGTTATCATCATATGATGTTCTGTGAATACGGAAACTGATGCATCACCAGACTGATGTGAGAGCTTTCCCCTTATTTAAAATGCATCTTGAATTTGAAAAATTAATAAGAAAACAATAACACCATGAAATTCATGATATAAAATGGGATGACAGCCGTTTGTTCCATGATGTTGTTTGCCTTCTTAATATACATCTTCAGTTGCTGGCGATCTATAGCCCATTTTTACATTGTATTGTCCCAAAATAGTTTTCTACTTTTAAAGATATATGCAAGCTAGTTTTAACTCATTTTGTGATAATCTAGTAATTTTACTGTCCTTCGTTGACAGGGTTTTATATATTATATGTATGTATTATGAATTTAGAACTAGTTTTAGTCTGGATATACTTCACATTTCCTATGAATGCTCTCACTTTCATGAAAGCAGTAGAACATTCCAAATAAGGCATGTGCATATGAAGTATGTTTGCCACCATCGAAGATTGTACAGTTTCCAAGTATTTTTACACGAGTTGGCAGAATCCTTTGAGTCGTTCATGTGGCACTTTCTATGTTAAATCAGCATTCATTATGTATAAGACTTAGTGATTCCTCTCCCAGTAGTTATACAGAGACAACGTCTGCATTTGACAGATGACACTAATTACAAAGTCTTGATTCACTGCGTAGCCTGTTGAGATCAAGGACAGAGGGTGGGAAATGTGTGGTCATAATGGCCACCGTGTTTGTCCAGTGCTTCTGGAGACTATGCTCCATGAATTCCTAGTCTAAATATATGTAAGCATATTGGTTTGTGTTGTTAATGGAACTGGAATATTATCTGCAGTGCAATTTGGGTCTTCAATAGCTGATAGACTGATATACTGTATACTGATTTAGCAGAAACAAAATGGTTTGGGATATCATAGATATACTACCCATCAAAAGTTTAGACTCACTTAAAGCACTCACTATATGTTATGTATATAAATATGAGATTACATCGAAGATGAATTTCTCCACTAACTTGGGGGAATCAACTGCAACCTTATGCAGATGAATTGCGTGAGGATCAATCATCAAATTGCTGAAAAACAGGTGCAAATATTGTGCATGTGAACAGCTGCGTTTTGGTGTAAAGTTTTCTTAAGAATTCAGGGGTGGTGGGGTAGCCTAGTGGTTAAGGTATTCGCTCGTCATGCTGAAGACCCGGGTTTGATTCCCCACATGGGTACAATGTGTTAAGCCCATTTCTGGTGTTGTCCGCCGTGAAACCAAACTCACTCACTCACTCACTCTTAAGAATTCACCAATTTTCACTGAGTTTCATCATTTATTGAATTCATGACAATAATCTTTTCAACGTTACAAATTTGTTTTACAATACTTCAGTTCATGTGTAAATATTACGTTTAGACAGTATGGAATATTTTGCAAACTCTAGTTTAAAACAGTTGACTGGAGAAAGTGGTTACATTTACACTAGTGAGTCTAAACTTTTGATGGGTAGTATATGTCCAGTTTTCTTGACATACATGACAAGTAACATCTTCTTTCAATATTTGAAACTAATTTTCCATTTCTTTGACACACTTTTCTCTGTCTTTTGGTTAATTAATAAACTTTTTGACAAATATTTGAAACATATATATAATTCCTTTTGTAGTAGTTCTTACTTATTATGTTCCATTTAACAAACTTTCTCTTTGTGTTTTACAGATGACCCTGTTGCCATGGTAATGAAGGTATCTGAGACTATAGATATAGAGAACGTATTTCCCCTGAGGAGAATGAGAGGGTGAGTGATTAGACTCATATCATTCAGTCAGGTTCTGTCTCTTGTCGTTGACTGCCTGTGGTCACGTATTCACTGGCCCAATTTGCCTGGTTTAGTTGTCTTCAATACATCAGTGCCATTTTAAAGAAGAAGTTTCACATATTGGCAAAATAGGCACAAGAAACAAACTTCTCCATCAGTGCTTTGTTACCGCCAGGAGACTTAAGTTTCAGCTGTATTGCCAACAATAGGCATAAGAAACAAACTAGCTCTGAAGATAAGCATGTCTTTGTTACCGACATTGATACTACAAGCATACTGCTGGCAGTGCGTGTTTTGTCTTCAAATGTGAAACTTGATTATACATATATGACACCACTTATCATATTAGGAGTTCAGAAGGTGAATATATAGTTCAGAAGGTGAATGCATGACAAGATAGCATATTGTAGAATATGGCTTATCATATTAGGAGTTCAGAATTGGACAGCCAGCTTATCATATTAGGAGTTCAGAAGGTGAATATATGACAGCCCAGCTTATCATATTAGGAGTAGAAGTTGAATATATGACAGCCCAGCTTATCATATTAGGAGTTCAGAAGTTGAATATATGACAGCCAGCTTATCATATTAGAGTTCAAGAATGAATATATGACAGCCCAGCTTATCATATTAGGAGTTCAGAAGGTGAATATATGACAGCCCAGCTTATCATATTAGGAGTTCAGAAGGTGAATATATGACAGCCCAGCTTATCATATTAGGAGTTCAGAAGGTGAATATATGACAGCCCAGCTAATCATATTAGGAGTTCAGAAGTTGAATATATGCATATTTTAAAGTATTTTTCCTTATCCTGACTCATGCTTATTGCTTGTCTTCTTCTTCTTGCTAACCTAGTGGAACACTTGTATCTCCCAATTGAAGTTCCCTTCAATAAAAATCACTCATTAGTACCCACCACGAAGTTACCTCCCTTCCACAAGCTGAACGAGGGGCACCACCTGAACCCATGTGCCTCACTCTCCTTCTTCTTCACCAGTGAGCAAGACGGAGAGCACCTGTGTCTCCCTGCACACTATATCCTTTATTTATATTTAGTTTGTTACCTCTTATATTCATCTATAGAGGTGTAACTAGTATCATTATTCAACATGCATTGATAATTATTCGTGTTTCTGCTGCTTGATTCACGGTTCGCCGTGGTTTACTCAGCAGTTTCATGCTAATAAAAATCTGCACTGTTTGTAAATTACGCTACTCTGCTACCGATCCACATTTAAAATGCCCTAGTTGCATTACTCCATGTTCTATTGTTTCTCGCTGTAAATTATGTATTAATTTTACCAATTTCTGCCTTTGATAAATATTTATGTTCCGCTTTGAGACGGAAGGCAGATAAATCTCGAAACAATCTTCAGTCATGGCTAATAGATCGAGTCAGATATATCCTGAGTTACCTTCGGGATAAGCGTGGGACGCAGTCCGCTATATCCTAGAAGTTTACCTGCTTCCCAGGACGCTCCTTCATCACAGTCTAAAACTAGAAGAGCTTCCACGCCATCTCAACGCATTCGAACCCCCAGGTCTACAGCCTCGCCAAAGGGAAATCCAATGAAGGCTACCAAAACCCCCAAAAAAAAAAACTTTGCTTCTGATATTCAGAATTATGTTTATATGATGATGACATTTCGATTATCATTCCAGATGTATGTCATAAGAAGTGACCAGTATCGCTACCGCCACTTCAGCGCAGATCAACATGCAATCAGAGATGCCTACGCTGACGCCGGAGATTATAACTGAGGGTCCCGGCCACTATCACAGAGAGGACACCCTCAACGCCAGCGCAGACCATCCCAGACGACCTGGTCAACCAAATCATGAGGCTGATGGAAGACCGTTACATGCTTACAGAGGCCTCAGAGCCACGGGCCTCAGAGCCCACCCCATACTAAGTCATACAGGGCCTTAGAGCCCGCCTTTGGCTTCGCTGTAGGGCCTTTGAGCCCACAGACGCCCGCTCCGCAAGGGCAACCCAGCCCGTAGCTTAACACTTCGCTAAGGAAGTCCCAGGTCAGCCTCCGCCAAGGAGCTAGGGACCTCACTAGTTGCGAGGGACATCGCTGGAGAAGGAGCGCCACGAGCCTACACCCTGTAGAACACAGAGGTCGCTCGCTGAAGCAAGCCATATATTGAGTTGCGCGGAGCGCCGCCGAGCCCACACCCTGTAGAACACAGAGGTCGCTCGCGAAGCAAGCGCCATATATAGAGTTGCGGAGCGCCACGAGCCCACACCCTGTAGAACACAGAGGTCGCTCGCTCAAGCAAGCAAGCCATATATTGATCGGACTCTAGACACTTCGCTAAGGAAGTCCCAGGTCAGCCCGCCGGAAGGAGCTAGAGCCTCACCAGTTGAGAGGGACATCGCTGAGAGGAGAGAAGGAGCGCCACGAGCCCACACCCTGTAGAACACAGAGGTCGCTCATGGGCAAGCGCCATATATTGATCGGACTCTGACTCGACACTTTCAAGGAAGGTCGCTAAGGCTAAGTGGCTCCAAGTCTATTTCACCCAGAAGATCTAGAAGCGCTATCGAGATCTTCGCTAAGTCCCGGCGTCACGAGGAAGTCTCCTCCAAGGTCTCCATATACTAGCCACTGGCCATATATAGCCACTCGCCAGTCCGCTCAAGACATCGCATGAGTTGTCTATCAACTGTAAGCCATATGCCGCCTACAAGCCTACGCTAAGACAATTGCACAGGCTATTTACAACACAGAACGCCGCTGTATTAATTTATCAACAGATGAAGAGCCTAATTAAGGATCTTCGCCGACTACCTACTACGATACGATTATCTACATGCGACCATTACGCAGATCTGCAGACAATTCAATAACTAAATTGAACAGCAGCCTTGTTACAACGAAGTAAAACTCATAATCGCCAATGATTTCCTGAGAAGAAATATGTACAACAAGTTCAGCTTTAACAGTCTACAAGCTGACAACTTGCAAGGTTTATTGAACCTTATATAAGGAAGTCGGAATTATCTTCAAGACTGAAGTTACTTTCACGACAGCCTGGAAAATAACCTACCCAGCATTAATATTACAGAGCGAGGTATTTCGCTACCGAGGTTTCGCTGCTTACCATCAACCCTCAAACACGCGGGTCACTCGGGTAACTTCAGGAAGCTACGGTGAAGACCGACGATTGTTCTAATATCAACGACGGCACTATATTATACAAGGTTCCTTTTCCTGCTACACCGGTGACATCACAGCGCGGGTACTTTACAGAATCAAAATGCCTTGTTCTGATTGGACCGAGATGGACAACGCCCCTACGCAGAGGTCGATCATAGTTCACAGTTCAACACATAGGTTGCAAGTGACAACAATATATCAGTGAACGAAAGCAAGCCTCCTTACAGTCCAGCTAATCTGAACCTTCATGATTGGGCTGCCTTCTTGAGGTTAGAGACCTCCCCTGTCAAGTAAGGACGAGGCACGCAGTCAGGCGATTTTTACATAAAGTTCAACGATGGCAGTCACCCCTGGTTGTGCACCTACATCGCCAAGCACTTCGCAAGAGCTTAATTTACCTCGACGACGGGATACAAATGGATCCAAATCCATAGCGCCTCAGACTACAGTTGAATTCATCATCAAGCTACTAACACAACTAGATGGTTAGTAAACCTACTTAAGTTGGACCTAGAACCTTCGCAAGATCTGCTAATTCTAGGTTTTGATTTGTAACGGCGCAGAATCGTATAATTGTACCGAGAACCATGGATCAAGATCCAACAGTCATTTCCATTAAGCCTTACTATCTCCGCTACCACTACGACAGTGACAGAGTCTGTTGGGGTTACGACTTCAGCTCAGCTCAAGACATGACAGGCAGAGGCAGACTACAATTACATCCGCTACAAGTCATCATCAATTCAAGATCTAGACGAATCTCTACCGCTCAATTCACCGGGTTCAGGTCAAACCTCATCTACTATGGTGGACCAAGAGATCAATGTTTGAATAGGCGCCTCGCTAATAGAGCTGGAATCGATAACACTTTCAGATGTGTCACTATAGGTTGGGGAGCCCATCTTGCCAACAGGACGGCATCAGGGCTATGAGCAATCAAGAGAACAAATTACACATAAATCTGCTAGAGATGCAAGCAGTAATAAACGCCTTTAATGCACTGGAGCAACTTACTACAGTATACCCAGTGGATGATTCACACAGTCAATTCGACAGTGGCGCTTTTATGTGAACAAACTAAGCTCAACCAGGTCCCCGAACATATCGACTCTGTTTTCAATTGTTCGATTTAATCGACAATCTCAACATACATGTCAGAGCATATCACATTCCAGGAGCAAAGAATGTGATAGCAGACGCTCTCTCTCGGCCACACATACCATCGCCGACAGAATGAATGCTCCATACAGAGATATTCACTCAAATTATCAAGGAAATAGGAACTACACTAATAGACCTATTTACCACTCGATTCAACAAACAACTGACAACATTCAGATCGCCAGTTCCAGACCCACTAGCATTGGCAACAGACGCACTAAGCATATCGTGGAAGGACTCAACGCGCAGACGCTTTTCCGCCACCAGCGTTAATCTCACAAGTTTACTCAAAATCAGTCAAAAGCAGAGCCTCCATCTGAATTTGGTCACGGCCTACTGACCAGCGAGAACGTGGTTTCCAACTCTTATTCAAGAAATCGGACAACCAATACTACATCTTACAGAGTGCTCGAATCTGTTAATACATCCGCGACACCAAACAAGCGCGACGGAAAGCCAGATATATTCCAACTTCACGTATGGATTGTATCATATGCGGTCTGAATAACAAGTTATTCAGCCAGAGCGCAAAGCAGTCTAGCTTGCCCCTGGGCGTGAACTCAACTGGCAACTTATAATGATGACAAATGGCACAGTTTGTCAATTATGCTGCAAAGGAAGGATTTACAGCTAGATATGCTACTCATCCTCAAGTGGCGGACTACTTATGTTATCTACGTCAGACTAAGATTTTATAAGGCTCAACTTGTCCACCTATCTTGCAGCAATAGCTCTATCATAACTGAGAACGGGCGCCAAGTTAATCTAACCCAGTTACTCGCGCTTTGCTACGAAGCCTCGATTGAGGATTAAAACGGAAGTTTCACGCCTCCAACTTGGGATCTGAATATAGTGCTCCAACACCTCACAAGTGAGGTTTATGAACACGCTTTGATGATATACTTGGACCCATGATACGATGAATCTATCACGATGGCCAGTAAGAGCACTGAAAATATATCTCCACCGAGCCAAACAGGAGGGAAAATGCAAGAGATTTATTTCTCTATCAAGCTACGCAGACGGAAGTCTCAATGCACTACTATCTCCCTTTGGATCAGAACTGTCATACCACGCGGCCTACAAGACTGCAGGATCGACCCTCCATGAGCTTCTAATCCTCATGATATTAGAGCTAACATCTACATTGCTCTACACAAATGCTATTGAAATAATGGAGGGTTATTTCTGAGATCCGATATGGTGTTTGCCAACCACTATCTGAGAGATATCACCACCGAGGACGCCTCAGGTATCCACCAATTCGGGTCCCATGGTCCTCAGACAACAGTTGACAGTTCTCGAGAAGATAAGTCAATCTTACAGATTTTACTTATCTTATAACAGTACTAAATAGCTACATGCTATATATATTTTGCTTAAGTTCTTTTATTATCTTAAGCTCAGTACTATGGTTATTATATCATACAATATATAAGCTAACAACTCTACGGAGTTTGTTATTATATATTTAGCTTAAGTTAATCATATCTTAAGCTCAGTACTATGGTTACATTATAAATGTATTAGCTAACAAACTCTACAGAGTTTTTTGCTATTATATATGTAGCTTAAGTTCATTATATATTAAACACAGTACTATACTCATATCATAAAAATATATTAGCTAACAAACTCTACGGAGTTTTTGCTATTATATATGTAGCTTAAGTTTATTCATATCTTAAGCTCAGTACTATGTTTATATCATATAAGTATATTAGCTAACAAACTCTAAAGAGTTTTTTTGCTATTATATATTTAGCTTAAGTTTCATCATATCTTAAGCATTATGGTTACATTATAACATGTATTAGCTAACAAACTCTACGGAGTTTTTGCTATTATATATGTAGCTTAAGTTTATTCATATCTTAAAGCTCAGTACTATGTTTATATCATATAAGTATATTAGCTAACAAACTCTAAAGAGTTTTTGCTATTATATAGTTACCTTAAGTTTCATCATATCTTAAGCATTATGGTTACATTGTAAAATATATTAGCTAACAAACTCTACGAAGTTTTGCTATTATATATATAGCTTCAGTTTATTCATATCTTAAGCTTAGTACTATGTTTACTTCATAAAAAAAGTATATTAGCTGATAAACTCTAAGGAGTTTTTGCTATTATATATTTAGCTTAAGTTTAATCATATCTTAAGCTCAGTACTATGTTTATATCATAAAAGTATTTTAGCTAACAAACTCTAAGGAGTTTATGCTATCATATTAACAAGCTTAAGTCTATTAGTCTTAAGCATTGTATTAATATTATATATACTTTTATCATAATAAGTAAATTGTAATAACCTTTATATGGCAGCTGATAAGTTACAGCAGGAATTCTTCAGTTCAGTGCCTTTATGAAGTTCCCATAGGGTTATTACAATCATCTCAGTTCAAATCACTAATTAGTAAAATCCAAAGTATATATAATCCCACCTCCTATCCGTAGGGATTCTACAAGCAATAAGCATGAGTCAGGATAAGGAAAAATATGAAATTTTTAGAGTAAAATTAATATTTTATACTTATCCTGACTCATGAGGTAAGCCCTCCCGCCCTCCCCCACTTAACACTTTGGATTTCCCTGAAAATTCAAATGTTGGGCCTCAGTATATGAGGAGAGAGTGAGGCACATGGGTTCGGGTGGCTCTCGCTCCCGCTTGTGGAAGGGAGGTAACTCGTGGTGGGTACTAATGAGTGATTTTTTATTGAAGGGAACTTCAATTGGGAGATACAAGTGTTCCACTAGGTTCGCAAGAAGAAGAAGACAAGCAATAAGCATGAGTCAGGATAAGTATAAAATATTAATTTTACTCTAAAAATTTCATTTTAAAACCAACTATTACTTTCCGTGGTAACCTTCACATATTTTCAATGTTTTCTACGCGGTTTATATGCTGCTGGCGCTGTTAGCTACATGCTTGCGTGTTTGCTTTCAGGCCTTTTCATCCTGTTCGGTCTGTGGACAGAGAGAAATTCCACGGGCCGACAGGCATGAGCTATCGCGCGCTGCCTGTCTTGAGAAGACGGGCCACGCACGCTGAGTCCTGCCCTATTTGTCTGGCCTTTTCCCCGGCCCAGAAGAGGCGGGCGGCCGATACGTTGTTTTATCGTGAGATGCGGAGGTAGTGGGAGGGGACCTGACGAGGAGGTCCCCGCCTAAAACAAAACGTCACGGCCAAAAAGGGAAAAAAATCCCGAGGCCCTTCCCCTCTCCTACCACCGAAAGTGGTTTTGACATGTCGGTAATGGACTCTATGTTTCAGCAGCATATGGACTCTCGTGAAGTCCTTCGCTCGGGAGTCGGTTGGAGGTCTCCCGCAGGAGTTCCTCACCCACTCGGACGGGGCGGAGAGTCCGGGTGGGATCTCCGGGCTCGCTCGATCCCCTCAGCCTTGAGGGCGCCTGTAGATCCGCTGCCTCTGGCTTCGGATCCGGACGCCTCGCTGCTCCGGGAGAGGGAGGTGCTCCCAGTCCCCTCTCGGAGTTAGCGCAGGGACCGTTGAGTATTCCTGGTATTCGGTCCTGCGCACACCCGCCTCTTGAGATTGCGGAGGCACCAGTTCTGCCTGGCCTGCCTCCAGCGCCTGGGACCGGGGTCCACGACGCCGCCTGGCTGGGCTGACGTGGAGCCGCCTGTCTGTTCTTCCCTTCCTGTGGTTCCTAGCGCCAGGCAGTCCACCGGTCGGGTTAGGGTCCTCTTTACGGAGGAGACCCAGCCTCTGACCTGGGCTCGGGCGCCGAGGCAATGGAGCTTGGGGAGGTTGAGGAGCAGGACGGAGGCTTCCGCTTTGCTTCGCCTTGGCGGGAGGTCCGCAGAGAATTGCCGAGGGCCTACCCCAGGCAGCGGTGCCTGCTGGTTGGGCGTGGACTCGACTGAGTTCCGCTTGCCAGGCGCAGGCGCTTGCCCCTAGGCAACCCTCGCAGACGAGGCACCGCGATTCTGCCTTCGTTGGTCTCGGACGGGTCGATCCCCTCTGTCTGGTGCCCGAGTGCACGGCTTGACTTACCGGATCTCGCGGCGGGCGCTTACCAGCTTGGGGAGGATTCCCTGTTCGTTGTGCCAATTGTAGACCTAATGTGTGTTCACTTCGCCGCCCTGGGGAGGCTCGGCTTCCTCCCGAGCAGCCCGCTGCTCGGCAAGGCGCCTGACTCCACCTTTGCCTCGGCGCCTCGCGCGGCACGCTGCACCGGACTCCACGAGGAGGTCCACCGGAACGCGATGCAGCAGGTGCGGTGGTGGTGGTCCATGAGGCCTACTCTCCCGGTTCAGAGGTCGGCCTGGAGGCGGAGGGGCATGCTGGCGACGTGTCGCCGCATGTCGTCGGCTGCTCCGCCAGCTGGAAGTGCAGGCTCACCTGGCGCGACTCATTGGCGGTCTGCTGCCGACGGTGATGTGCGCAGTCATGGGGATGCGAGGCTGTGGCTGTCGACGCCTAGGTAGGTACTCGGCAGCAACACAGCAGACCTTGCTGGCCCTCCCTTTCCGCCTGGGAGCGACCTCTTCCAGGGGCCCAGCAGGTCATACGGGAGGCTGCCGCTGCAGCTACCTCCTTCAAGGACTCTAAGGCCTTGTTGGAGCACCCGCTGGTCTAAGTCCCGCCTCCCGTGCCACCTTCCTCCGCCGGGTGCAGCCTACACCCGAAGTCTCGCCGGCTGGCTTCGCCGCTTGGTAGGTAGGCGGAGGAACAGGTCCGCCAAGGGTAGGGGCAAGGAGCAGTCCTCGACTAGCTCCCAGCTCGCTGGCGCCGGAGGTCTGCCCCGACCTCCCGTTAACCCATCAGGCTGCCGCTCAAGCCGTGTGTCACGCTTCCAGTCAGCTCCGCTACTCGGGTCTACACACGCCAGCCCTACCCCATATCCCAGTGGGAGGCCGCTCTCTCTATTCCTGCCGGAATGGGAGAAGGCTACCAACAACGCTTTGGTGCTGGCCACGGTCAGCATAGGCCATCTCCCACTGTGGAAGCGAGGTCCGCCCGACTTCACCGGGCATACGCCGTGACTCCGGTGCCGGCCATGTCAAGCCAGGGCGACATATTGCGCGACGAAGTTCAGGCTCTGCTGGACAAGTCCGCTAATCGAGCGCATTCCACCGGAGAGGAACAGGCGGATTTTATTCCACGACTTTCTCGTTCCGAAGAAAGACGGCGGGTTCCGTCCGATTCTCAACCTCAAGGGGTTGAATCGCATGCTCGGTACCATCCTTCAAGATGGAGACACCGCGCCGGTGATCTCATCTGTTCAGCCCGGCGCATTGGCTCACGCCAATCGACCTAAAGATGGATGTGATTCTGCATGTACCCATACATCCATCGCTCAAGCAGTACCTTCGGTTCTCTTTACGACGGATGTATTACCAATTCAGGGTGCTCCTTCGCATATCGACTGCCCCAAGGGTGTTCACCAAGCTCATGTTAGTCCCAGCTACCCTAGCTCGCCTGCAAGGAAGGCGCTTGTTACCCTTACCTAGACGACTGGTTGCTCGGAGCACTAACACAGCCAGCGAAGTCAAGATGCTACTCACACAGTGATAGACATTCTAACTCGACTGGGGTGGATCATCAACCTCAAGAAACCGACCTGGTACCCACCCAGGACTTGGTTTTTCTTGGAGCGATTCCAAACGAACAAGGATCTCGCTTCCTTGTCGCCCGACCGGGTCACCAGAGTTCGGGAGATGGTATCTTCATTCCTCTCCCAGCCCCAGGCACCAGCACGGACTTGGCTCCGCCTACTGGGCCATATGGCTTAATGCGATCTCTGTAGTGTGGCGGGCGCTGTTGAGGATGCGCCCCATACAGCAAGCTTTGGCTCGGCTGTGGACTCACACGGAGGATCTGGAGCGCAGTCTCACAGTCCCCGAAAGTGGTTGACACCTCACCTTCAGTGGTGGACAAATGTCGGAATCTCACCAGGGGGTCCCTTGGAAATCCTCGACGCCAGCCTCTCACAGTTCAGACCGACGCGCCCCTCACGGGCTGGGGTGTTCTGGGCAGTCTGTCGGCTTCGGACTCTGGTCCGAAGCGGCCCACCTTCACATCACGTGTTGGAACTGAGAGCTGTGCGGTTGGTATTCGAAAGCTTCAGAGAGCATGTCCGTGGCCAGGTAGTCCGCCTTCAGTTAGACAACCAGACGGCCATGTCGCGACATCCTGAAGCAGGGAGGCACGGTGGTGTCCCCAGCGCCTCCGGGAAGCGTGGGACTTTCTCCTCTGGTGCTTACTTCCAGTACGCATTGTCAGGTACTCCCTGTTTATCTCCCCGGGCTGAGAGCGTGCGAGCAGATGCGCTCTCGCCGGATCCTGGCCCCGCACGAGTGGATGCTCGACAGGCAGATATTCACAGTAATCTCCCAGTTGTACGGGTCGCTCGAGGTGGATCTGTTTGCGCCCCGGGCGGACGCATCAGACACCCGTGTTCTGCTCTCGGATACCGGACCCAGGGCGCTGGCTGGCCGACGCTTCTTCCTGCTGGATTGGACGGGCAAAGTGCTCCATGCTCGCCGTTACCACTCATTCCCCGTGTCCTTTCACAGCTGTCCACCCAGCCAGCTCGGCTACTTGTGCTACTGGCACCGCTTTGGTCATTACAGAGCTGGTTTCCGTAATTCTCAGGTTTCTGGCTCAGCCTCCTGTTCTATTACCTTTGGCGACCGGACATTCTCACTCAGAACGGAGCCCACCCAAATCCACGGATTCAGTGGGTGGCTTGGCCTCTGTCAGGTCTAACCTCGAGGCACGCTGAATTCCTGCAGCAGTTGCAGACACAATTCTGGCTTTCAGGCGGGATTCGACAAACGCTCAGTATGAGGATAGGTGGTCCCGCTATCGCGCCGCTGGTGTTCAGATAGGGGATTGCAGATCCCTTTTCTGCGGATTTAGTCCGAGTATTGGAGTTTTTGCAAGCTCGCTTGGAAGAAGGCCTGGCGGCCGACCATTCGCGGCTACTCCACCGCTATTTCCACTTTTCACACCCCTGTCGATGGTGCTCTTCTGGGGCAGCACCCTCTCGCATAGCGCCGCTGGCGCTGAACGGATTCGACCTGCTCTCAGGCTTAACCAGTCCACCTTGGGATTTGTCGATCGTGTTTTCGATTGGCTGTCCGTCCCACTTTTCACACCTATCGGCTATTTCCATTCAGTTGTTGACCTGAAAGCTGTTTTTCTGGTGGCGGTAACATCTGGTCGTAGGGTCGGCGCATTTACATGCTATGTCGTCCGACCGCCGGGCGCTGACTGTGTTTCACACGGATCGTGTCAGTATTCGCCTCCCAGATACTTACCGACCGAAGGTCGATCATCACGCTTCCATGTGACAGCTCCTATCGAACTTCCTACTCTTACCCAGCCTTCCACATCGGGGACCACTCCTACGAAAGCACTCACCCGCTGGATGTCCGTGAAGACGCCAAAGTCTATATCAAACGAACGCAGGGAATCCGCACGGGTACCCAGCTGTTCTGTTGTTACGGTGGCGGAAGGCTGGTCTGCCAGCCAGCAAGCAGACTTTGTCTCGCTGGCTAGTCTCGTATTTGTGTGCGCTTATCAGGCTAAGGGCAAGCCTCCCCTGAGGGGTTGAAGGCTCACTCGGTCAGGGCAGTAGCCGCCTCAAAAGCTTTTGCATCGGCACTCCCCATTGAAGAGATCTGCTCCGCTATATTTGGAGCCGCCAAGCACGCTTATACACCATTATCAGCTCGACACGCATTCCCGTAATCGCGCGAAGCTTTGGTCGTACTGTTCTCTCCAGTGGACAGTGTCCTGCCACCCTGACCGAAAGTGAGTCTTGGTTTATTGGTTTGTTTTGACGCTTACTGTACAATAATTCCATTATTGACATGTCTGCTACTGTGTGCTCACTCAGAGAACCTGTACCCCTTTCGATTTCTACGGAGTTACTATATCGTTAGTGAGTGGTATTTTGCATTCCCCCACGGTGCTCTTATGTAAAAGCCACTTAGTGGGTGGGGATTCATTGACATTCGCACTACGTGCAATGTCTCATTATGCTAGTGAGGTCGCTCTTTGAGCACAATTCCTCCCTGTCAGTTCCTCCCATAATGCCTCTCGCGAAGCTTAAACTGGGACAAGTGACAGGTGAGTGTTATGGCGCCTGTTCAATTTTTTTCCATGATAATGATCGCTATATTTGTGTGTGCTTGACAGAATTCCTCCTCCCTGGCCTCCGGTCTTTGGGAGTCTGTGTTTATGCATAATATGTACCCCAAGGACGATCTCTCTGAAAGAATTAACCAAACCTGCAGAGGTTTTCAATTCTTTGAAGAGAGTCGCCCTTGGGGTAGGGCCTCCGCCCCCCGCAATTCTGTTCACTGATATATTCAGCAGAAGGAATGATGATACGGGTCTAGGAGCCTACCCAGTTGGTGCGCATGCTTAAGGGAGGTAACTCCGTGAGGTAGGGTCCCGATAATAAATAAAAGAGTTTATTTATTGTTCAATCTTTTATTCAAAAACATTGATACAACTGTCACAGGACATTTTTCAGCCGGAAAATGCATAAATACCCCAAGGAAATTCTCCAAGGACCTCTGCAGGTTTGGTTAACTAGACAATCTGTTTCAAAGAATTGAATTCAGCTCCTGCTGCAGGTTTGATGCTGAAAAGTTGGTCCAACATGGACATGAATGAAATATTCCATTCATCAGCACCTTGTGTGAATGTTGTGGCACTCAGAGTATAGATTGAACAAAACATTATACTACAGTTATTTTGCTCCATTTGAAATGCCACATTGGATTCAGTTTTGAGATAGAAATTGGTGTTATTATCAACTTTAGGAAGTCAAGTCAGGGCTGCGTTTTTGGTTTCAGTTCCATGAGGAGTTTGAGAAGTATGCCTTCAGTGCACGGGAGGTGGAGGCAGTGTTTGACACAGTTGTCTCCCCACAGGTAGGTGTCGTGCGTGGACCCTCATCATATACACATTGAGTTGTATGTTCAAGTTCATTCATCATTGTTGGGAAGGTTCAGTTATTTGTAAAATGTTGATTCACCCAAACTTCGCAAGTGTCAAGGACAGTTTTGTTTTGTGAAATCTCAGTATCTCACTAACATGGAGATCAGACGTCATTCCCTCTTGGAACAGTGAATATATCTTCTTTGGGAGACCAGCTGGAGGCGGTTGGATGTAAGTCTGACTGATGCCATGATGGTGTGGAATAATGCTCATGCTATCAGCCACCAGTTGGGCCACTGTGATAAATCTCATTGGGATGTTGTTGAGGTATACTCTATGATATCATTGCATCTAACACCTGTGAAGATCCGGTTTAGAATTGATCTTCAGTAACCCATGCTTGTCGTAAGAGGCGACTAACGGGATCGGGTGGTCAGGCTAACTGACTTGGTTAACACGTGTCATTGTATCCCAATTGCGTAGATCGATATTCATGCTGTTGATCACTGGATTGTCTGGTCCAGACTCGATTATTTACAGTCCGCCACCATATAGCTGGAATATTGCTGAGTGCGGCGTTAAACAACAACCAAACCATTGCATCTAAGAGTGATGTCATTCTATTTCTTTGCTGTTTGGGCAAATGTTACATATGGTTCTAATCACCAACTTTTGCAATTTTTCTATTGTCTTATTGATCACCTGTTGACCTTTCAGCTGGACAGACTGGCCATTGAGGGCGTCTACTCTGCCACACCTTTGCTCAAGCTTTTCAGTGTGTGGACCAGACACATCAGGTAATAGCCCGCCTCATATATGTCATTCCACACATACACCAGGATATAGTTGATTTATTGTATACATTTCGATACCTATATGCCCCCTTGTCAAGAAATTGTATTCAGCTGGCCAAGTTGTATTCTCAGCCACTACAGTTATCAACAGCGTGTGCACAAAATAGATTGTTGTTAAATTATAACAAAAGTAACTTAACATGCAGAATCTTGTTTTTAGCTTATATTTATCATTGATATTCCATTTTTGGAAGAGCAAGAAACTTTAAAACAATATTTAAAGCTGTTTTGTGGTGTGCCATGTAAACAACACCATGGCCGTCGCAGCAAAGATCAGTGGCTTCTTTGTTGGGTGTCTGTTAGATGAAAGACAATATAACCCTACTGACAGATTGATGTCAGCTTTTTGTGACATAAAGGTGACAGGAAGTACATCACACGTTTATATATTGCTGCTATATGTGCTAAACGCCTTAAAAACGCCTGCTAGTTGCCTGAGTGAGTGAGTGGGTGAGTTAAAATCTGACTGTTATGATAAATGTATCGAAAACAAGATGTCTCATATAATGTCCAATGTTCCTGTATTCTTCAGATATTTCTATCTCCTGACAATGCCAACCAAAGAAGCACCAGAGTTAACTCCCCTGTCAGCTGTGTTTTCACTTCTTAATGCTAAGGGTTGCAATTCCAAAGTGTCCAGCCTCATTCTGGAGATGGTGGACAATCTTCTCTCTTTGGAGGAGAGTGAAGAAGGGGAGATAATGCTGAAAAACCTTTCTGAGGTTGACAGGGAAAACTATCTGGCATGCAAACAAGGTAACATGAAATCCTGTTATCATTTTGAAATGTTTCAGTGTTACGGAACATAGCAGTATTTGCAACATTTATCCATTTCAAATTTCAAAGGTAACAAGTTCTAAAATCCCCCATGTTATTGTTTTCAGAAGTTTAAAAGTGTTATCGGCTGTAGCAATTATTCAGATAATTTCTGGTTTTGAAGAATATGGCACCAACGGGCAGTTCTTGCAATATTTTGTGACATGGTTTGGATCAAAACAAGAATGAAGTGTCCATTTCATAAGATTGCAATATGGGACCATGTTAATAGTCGCCTCTCAGTAATAGGGTTTTTGGGGGGTTTGGTTTGTTCCTTAATGCAGCACTGAGCAATATTCCAGCTATATGGCGATCTGTACATAATCGAGTCTGAAACAGACAATGCAGTGATGAACAGCATGAGCATCGATCTAAGCAATTGGGATACGATGAAACGTGTCAACCCAGTCCGCTAGCCTGACCACCTGATCCAAGTTGCCTCTTACGACAAACATGGGTTGCTGAAGGCCAATTCTAACCTGGATCTTAATGGGTCTCAGTAATAGGGCATGCACAGGCCTAAGAAAAGGCCAGGAATAGGCCTTGCATTATAGAGTTTAAAGGCCTTGAATTTTTGTTATACAACTTTAAAAAATATATTCAAGCAATGTTACCCTTGTGATTGTGTTGTGTTGACTGAATCTGTTGTTGATGTAGATGACAGCGAGTGTGGGGTTGGTCTGCTCCGTCCCTACATCCCAGATGTGCTTGTGTTCCTCAAGAAGTCCATACAGTCCATAGGTTCCTCTCTCTCCAACAGGAAGCAAGGCTTTGTTACAGAACTCAAGATGCTAGCCAAGTAGGTTGAGTGGCATAGTGTCATGGTGGAAATCTCACTCTTTTCTTTATACTTGACATTTTTGCCTTAACCTGGGGAAGTTGCGTTTTGCATTCATTGTGTCCTCTTCAAATATCACCTTTTTCTTTTTTAACCCCCACAACAATGAAGTTGCGGGGGATATAGAAACGAGTTCCATCCGTCCGTCTGTGCGTCCGTCCTTGCATCACACTTTGTGTGAAGCATATCTCCTAAACTATTCGTGATAGCTTAACCAAACTTGGTACACATGTCAACCATGATCCTTAGATGTGCCTTTTGGGGGTTAGATCCAGATATGAATTTTATTTTTTGCTGTTTCCATGGAAACATGTCTTAGGCTGTGACTTTGAGGATGTCATATTGTCCGGAGCAGATCTTCCAAACTATACATGCTAGTGTCATCAAACTTGGTACATATGTCAAGCATGATCCATAGATGTGCCATTTGATGGTTAGACCCAGAAACGAATTTTATATTTTGTGGTTTCTGTGGAAATGTGACTTAGGCTGTGACTATGAGGATGTCATCTTGTTGCATTTCCATGGAAACAAGTTAGGCTTCAACTGAATTTGTTGGTAGTGCTCCTTTCTGGAGCAGATCTTAAAACCTTTCAATACTCTCCTTCCACTTTGCTATATACACTCCAAAACATTTGACATAATCATAACTAGCAGACATGTTCATATAGAGTATTTTGCCGTTGCGGGGGATATTGTTGACTTTGTCTTCTTGTAGTAATTGCTACTTATGTTTTTGTGTAATCTTATGCAGCTGTTTGCAGACTCATTGTGCATAGACAGTTACTTTTATGTATTTGGGGGCCATTTTTTCTGGAAGGAAATATTCAAAATTTCTTATAGGTGTAAAATATGGAATGTCTGACCAAATATTGACATGTGACATGAGTTGATTCATGTTGTGTGATGTCTTGTGTTCCTCAGAGTCAGCTGTCATGTGACGTCTGATGACCAGTGTACGCTGCTGTGCTCGATGCTCCTCCCCTTCCTGGATCAGAAGGTCAAACGGACTATGGTGAATATGCTCACTCTCTGGATGTTTGTGTGAAACTCGACTTCTGTGTGAAACTCGACTTCTGTGTGAAACTCGGCTTGTGTGTGAAACTCGGCTTATGTGTGAAACTTGACTTGTGTGTGAAACTCGGCTTGTGTGTGAAACTCGACTTCTGTGTAGTTTAGATTTTTGTAAGAAACTAGATGTATGTGAGCAACTAACATGTTTGAGAAACATGACGTGTGTGAAATTAGACTTAGGTGAGAAGCTTGACTTGTGTGCAAAACTTGTGTGTGAGAAACTTTACTTGTGTGACTGATGTGTGAAACTGGAACTGTGTATGAAACTTACTATATGTGTGAGAATACTTGCATGTAAAACTGGACTCATATGTAACAGTACAAATCAATATGGAAATTAAAAATTGATATTCTTTTGTCAGGATGTGGAAGAGAATGTACTGAACAGTATTGTCAATCTGACCAAGGTACTTCAGTCTCCCCGGGAATTCTACAGGTAATGGTTATTGTACATATGCAGATACTGCTTTTTATAGACTATCAGAAAATACTAGAGAATCTGGCTCTTGAACAGTTTCTGTCATTATTCACGTTTTCACATGAATATAATTTGTAATAAATTGTAGGCATTGCGATACAGTAGTTGTACATTGAAGTATTGTATCATGATCGTTGTATTGCGACACAGTGCGTGTTGTAATTGTTATACCACAACTGGATCAAACCGGTGTCATGAAACAGAAAAACCTTAACACAGGTGTTTAAGAAAGAACGTGAGTGCATCAATATATATTATTTCTCTTTGAATTATTAATTACCTTGTTTTACAAGGAATCAAAATGAGATGTGTCATATGATTTTACTTGAACATAGGTGTGTCAGGTAGTCATAGCTTTGAATGTTGTATTGTGATGTCCAAGATTATGTGTTCTGTGTTACAGACCAGTGTCCAAGCTGTTCTCCGTCCTGTGTAACCGACAGTCCAGGAACCAGCTGTGTACTATACTCAAGGTAACTCAGATTGATGAGCGTGGCACATGAGTAGATCTCCAGATTATGTTAACATGTACTACATGTAGACATCCCTATACTTTTACTTTTAATGCAGGTAGAAATCTTACAGTGATGATCATTCCACTTTTTGTTCTGTATTGGTGTGATGTGGAGAGGTCAACATGTATTGACAATTTCAAGCTGCCAGGGTGAGTGGTCTGAGTCATTACACCAAACTAGGAGCATTTCTTGAAGACATCGGGGCCTTGGGGTAGTCTAGTGGTTAAAGTGTTCGCTCTTAATGCCGAAGACACATGTTCTATTCCCCACATGGGTACAATGTGTGAAGCCCATTTCTTGTGTCTTTCCGCTGTGATATTGCTGGAAGATTGCTAAAAGTGGTGTAAAACCAAACTCACTCACTATTTACCAATTTCCTGTCCACTTGCAGCAGTTTTTGGGTTTATACTTGCCTTCATTCTTGAGGATTCTTGATGGCAACTCAGCAAAACTGCTAAAATTTGTATAACTGATACCTGTGTTTCATTTCCTTTTCTAATCATAGTTTTGAAGTTATCACACATTTTTGGTTGTTCCAGACAATCGGGGAGAAGTGCCCCGAGTACAGAGACATATCGCTGGTTGTTGAGAAGGTGAGCATTCTTACAGTAACTTGTCTGGAATAGGTTGGTAATGGCATCTTGGATAGGCAAGATTTGTCAGCAATTCTAATCTTTTTTAACTAGATCCTATATGATCCATGAAAGTTGTTCTCATCGGAGGGCTGAGTATCTGTCCTTAAGCTGCGTTGTTAGACCAGTGATGTAAGTTGCAGAAATTCACTACATGTCATGGCTGCTAATCCCATTTCTGTCCAGATTATGAACAACAATTGCCAGGATGTTGACACATTTTTATACTTTGAGATGTGATACTTAATACAGAGTATTTTTATTCATCAAGAAGATATGCAAGGTTCAAATCCCGTTTAACAAGGAATTCCACACTGTAGCACACACTGTCATTCATGATAAACTTTATTTCCTGAAGTTGACTGCTTGTTCTCTTTGCAGCTGAATGCCTGGAACCCTCGTCGGGCAGATGAACCGAACTATGACGTCCGTCTAGAGGCCTTCAACAAGTTCAATGATACAGTCCGTGGGATGACCATTATCAATGTGGATGCTCTCATTCCCATCATGCACAACTGTTGCCACTTCATCCTCAAGGTGATGCTTTCAGTGGTCATAGATAATTAAAGAGTGCATAGTTAATATCACTTAACACCGGGCTAACCAACATATGGGCTTTGCTTGTTTTTTTTGTTTACATGTTTGTATACCATCAAGTTTGAACCAGACAATCCAGTGGTTAACATCATGAGCATCCATCTGTGCAATTGGGATACGATGTCATGCATGAACTCAGTCAGGAAGAGTTACTACCTTACCCTTCTTGTGTCACTTACGACAGGCATTGGATGTTGAAGACCAATTCTAGTCTATGTTGTCATGGTGACTGAGAGCCTTGTTTACTCAGTGCATGGTGTATATGTGATTGGAGTGCCACCTGGTTTAGCATGCTGAGTGAATCTGTGATCAGGATTAACCAGCTCCACATCAGTTTGGTTGTATGGAACATATGTAAGTTGCAAGAAATAGTACCAAACTGTAAGCGCTGATAAAGCACCTTTATGTAGCTTGTTATTAGCCAGTGAAGATCTGGATTAGAACTGGCCTTTAGCAACCCATGCTTGTTGTAAGAGGCGACTAGCGGGATCGGGTGGTCATGCTCATGATGTCAATCACTGGATTGTCTGCTCCAGACTCGATTATCTACGGACAGTTGTCATATAGCTGGAATGTTGGTGAGTATGGCGTTAAACAACAAATAAACAAACAAATAACTTGTTATTAGTTTGACATCATGAGAATCAATGTATGCACACAACATCAGCATGTATCCATCATGTTGTATGGGTCATATGTAAACAACATGTGTTAAAATTGATCTTGGGGTGGTGGGGTAGCCTAGTGGTTAAAGCGTTCACTCGTCATGCCACAGGCCTGGATTCGATTCTCCACATGGGCCATGATATTGCTGGAATATTGCTAAAAGCGGCATAAAACCCGAACTCACTCACTCACTAACATTGATCTTCTTTTGCTTGTCTAGGTAGAGGACATGTCTTTAAGGGACAACTCAACATTTTGTCTGGTAACCATAGTTACACAACTGACAAAGACTGACTTCAACCAAGATGTGTTCCGTGAAGTGGTCACTCAGGGAGTGCTGCCCATGGTCAAGTCAGGACTCTACGACAAGTCAGAGGTGAGGCTGCGAGTTACACTCTCAGTTAAACTTGCAGACAGTATTCATGTGAGATGAACATATGGATGTAGCGATGTACAAGTTGACAAAGGTGGTCACTTGTTAAAAAAAAAACACCTTTGTAACAAGGGTCATGCATTATGTCATGTATCCAGGTGCAAAACCCTAACATCATGTGTCTGCTGCGCACTAAATTTTATTTAAGAAGATATTATTTTTAAACTTCTCCTATCTCAGGGTATGCACCTCTCTTCTTCTACGACCATGTGTGGAAATGTGCTGTAGGCTAAGTTGAATCAAATCTTTATGGCTTCTGACCCACCTGACCTCTGCCCCCACTCCGATAGCAAGTTGACAAAGATGGTCACTTGTTAAAGAAACCCCACAATACATAACAAGTAAATTAGTCTTAAACAGTACTAGTAGAAGAGACCAATTTGGGTTCAAATGAAGCTGAAAATATTTTTACATAACATATGTTATATTTGGGATTACACTTTCTCATGTTATATTTGGGATTACACTTTCTCAGTGGAAGTCATGGTGAGATGGCTGAGTTGGTGAGATAGATTGGTGAGATGGCTGCTGGAGTTGGTTCTGACTTTGTGTGCTGGTGATTAGGTGCCAGACTCTGAGAGTGTGGGTTTGGATTCCGCATGGGACTGAACCCAACAAGAAGTATTAAAATCTGTACTTAACTGAGAAAGTGTATCCCAAATATAACACAGGTTACTTTACACTTTCTAAATGACATTGTGTAATCATCCAATGTTTTGGATAATTGTTGATGCATGAAGAAGCATGTGGCTATTTTTCATACATTTGATCTTGGTTCCAGACTGTGAGGCATGAGTTCCTCACCCTGCTGGGGGTGTTGGTGCGAGCGTTTCCTGACCACCCCACCTTTGAGGGTCTCATTGGGCTCAGTGATAAAGAGATTGATTATGACTTCTACGAGAACATCAAACATATCCAGGTGAGAATGTTCATTTGACTGGCAACGGTCAACGTCAATACACAATGTTCTACTTCTTGTACTATGGGGCGGTTGGGTAGCCTAATGGTTAAAGCGTTGGCTCGTCACGCCGAAGACCTGGGTTCGAATCAAACCAAACTCAGTCAGTCAGTCTTGTACTATGTCCCTGACCCTGTAGCTGATGAAGTGAGTCATGTGTAACTCAGGGAAGTCAGATATTCTGGGAATACTGTCATCTTTTTGAGCATCTTCTTCTTGAAGTTGAAGAAGTGTGTGAAATAAATACAGCAGTGTGTGAAATAACCACTAGCCCGTGGCTAGTAAAAATCCAGTCGGGCGAGTAAATCTCCTGAGTCACTGGCCCAACAAGTTAGTGAATTTCATGGGATCATTTTGTAAATATATCACTCTCCCCGACTTGTGAAGTTATAATACACTTTTAAATCCTGCAAGAATATGGCCTGATGAAAATGTTCTTCATATTAGCACCTTAATGATGAAACCCATGTCATGCCGACAATATCTTATTCTCCTCTATTTTTGTCATCCTTTGCTTAGTTTCTTCACTCAAATTTTGGGCTGGTGAATTATTTTGTGGGCGAGTAACTTTTAGGCATAGCTTGCCCGAGTGGCTAGCAAAGTTTGGACACTTATTTCGATCACTGGGCTTCAGGTGTTCATGTCATTTTGAAAGGCATTCATGTCATCTAAGACGCCATATGTACTTGCAAGTGTTGGATTGCCTCAGTTTTAAGCCTGTGCTTCTGTGTTTTACCAAAGAAGTAAATGACTGAGATGTGGATTACTTTTGGCTTCCTCACACATTAAGATGACACATAAGGATCTTATGGCAATGTTTTAAGTAACCATAATCCCAGGCTACCGAAATAATGTGTGGAGCTTGGTGTCAGATGATAAATAGACAAGGGTATGAATACTGATGGTTACCTCTTGCTGGAACCGGGCAATCACTGTTTGCTTGTAAGCAGAGACTGTATTGCAAACCTGACATATAAAGGGCCATAGTGACTTGTACTGTCTATGGATGCAGGTTATCAACATTTGTTCATTTGTTTGTCCGTCCGTCCGCCCATCCATCCGTTTGTTCATTTGTTTGTCCGTCCACTTGTCCATCCATCCATTTACCACCTATGTCATCCACCCGTGAAGATCCGGGGTAGAATAGGTCTTCAGCAACCCATGCTTGCCACAAAAGGCGACTATGCTTGTCGTAAGAGGCGACTAACGGGATTGGGTGGTCAGGCTCACTGATTTGGTTGACACATGTCATCGGTTCCCAATTGCGCAGATCGATGCTCATGCTGTTGATCACTGGATTGTCTGGTCCAGACTCGATTATTTATAGACCGCCGACATATAGCTGGAATATTGCTGAGTGCAGCATAAAACTAAACTTACTCACTCACTCCCCTGTGTCATACATTCACTCCCAAAATTCTATCCTCACTCATTCACTCACATCCTTTTCATCCACTGTGGTGTAGTGGTTAGAGCGTCCGCCCGGAGAGCGGAAGGTCGCGGGTTCGATCCCCGACCGCGTCATACCAAAAGACGTTAAATTATGGTACTTGTTGGTCCCTGCCTGGCGTTCGGCATTGACGGGTACAACAAGGACTGGTCGGCACGGAATCAGTATAATGTGTCTGAGTGGGGTATTCATACTTCACTGCGGCATGGTATCTGAGTGGGCTAGCACTATAAAAACCAGCTTAAGTCTGGGCTAGTACAACCGGCCGCACATACACATACACACGCATGCACGTCGTCACATAAGAGAAATATTCTCAAGCAAGATGTAAAACCCAATTTCACCTCACCTCACCCCACCTCACCCCACCTCACCTCACCTCACCATCTCCCTCTTCCACCACTCCAACACTCCTCTTTTGGACCTAGTGAATGAGATATAAGCTACTGCAAGTCACAGTGCTCATTAACTGACTCAACATTTCAGGTCCACAGGCGAGTGAAGGCTATGCGGAAACTGACAACCTACCTGGAGACAACCACTCTCCGACGTGAACACCTGACCTCCTACTTCCTGCCTCTGTCCTCCTTGGTCATCCTTGACCCTGCCTACCTCAAGATCCAAGGTCTGAAAGAAGCAGCCATTGACCTTATAGCTGTCTTGTGTAAACTGTTGCCATGGCCACAGTACCTACAGCAACTCCGCTTCTATCTGTCTCTCCTGCCCGAAGAAAGTTGAGAATCAGAAACTACTTGTCAGGTAATCAGTTAATCAGTATGTTTCCTAATTTGCACCTGAATATTCACATAGTGTGTTGTTTCCTAATGTGCAGACACAGGAATATCCGGGTTGGAATGATCTTCAGCAACCCATGCTTGTCGTAAGAGGCGACTAACGGGATCGGGTGGTCAAGCTCACTGACACATGGTTGACACACGTCATTGGTTCCCAATTGCGTAGATCAATGCTCGTGTTGTTTATCACTGAATTGTCTGGTTCAGACTCAATTATTTACAGACCCCCACCATACAGCTGGAATATTGCTGATTGCCGCGTAAAACTAAACTCATTCACTCACAATTGTTTCCTTATTTGCACATGGATGTTAACATTGATCAGATTAGGCTGTGACAGTCTTATTGACTGAAAAAAATGATATATCTACTTCAATTAATCATTTGTTTTAAATTTGAAAAAATGTAATTATACTACTTTTTTATTACATTTTAGTTTGCTGACAATCAGCTCAATCTCAATGTAAATGTCGCTAATTAAATGTAAAATGTATTCTGTCCCCAGGTATGAGTGTTTGTATAGATATACTAAATGTTCAAATATTTGTTAAATACATATTCAGACTGAGTGTTGTAGCATACTGAAAATCCCTTAAGTCTCAATTGTTTACTTACTTATGTTCACATATGCAAAATAATCGTGACTCTGTTGGTGCTATTAAATTCTATGTACAATTTGACCAAAATGCATTTGACATTATTTCACTTCAGACTCTCTTGGCTTTATGATACTCTGTGTCCCTTAGGGGTGAGGACCCGTGAAGATCTGGGCTAGAATTGATCCTCATTAACCCATGCTATCGTAAAAAGCGACTGACGGGGTCTGGTGGTCAGGCTCACTGACTTGGTAGACACATGTCATCATATGACAGTTACGTAGATCGATGCTCTTGCTGTTGATCACTGGATTCTCTGGCCCAGAGTCGATTATTTACAGACCACTGGAATATTGCTGAGTTCGGCATAAAACTAAACTCACATACTCACTCACTTTTGGGGCAGTGAGCTAACCTGTAGGTTAAAGTATATGATCAATGCTCAAATGGCATGGCTCTGATTGATTTTCTTCCTTTCAGGGTTGTGGTTGCAGTGTTGAACTCGTTCCACTTCGACATCAGCAAGAGTGAGCTGTTCACCAGCACGGCCCCCAAACTAGTGGAAACAGCAGGAGTGAGCACAGACGACAAGGACGACACTGAGCAGGATACAGGTGGGTGGGTGGGGACCCTAGGGATCAGGATACAGGTGGGTGGGTGGGGACCCTAGGGATCAGGATACAGGTGGGTGGGGATCAGGATACAGGTGGGTGGGGGGGACCCTAGGGATCAGGATACAGGTGGGTGGGTGGGTGGGGACCCTAGGGATCAGGATACAGGTGGGTGGGTGGGGACCCTAGGGATCAGGATACAGGTGGGTGGGTGGGGACCCTAGGGATCAGGATACAGGTGGGTGGGTGGGGACCCTAGGGATCAGGATACAGGTGGGTGGGTGGGGACCCTAGGGATCAGGAGGCTTGATCACTTGGTTGTCTCCCAGGACCTAGATTTTCAAAGCTCTCCTAGTGTTAAGATTGTGGTTGTAAGTGCCATACATTAACATTAACTTACTACTCTCTTAGAGCTAAGAGAGCTTCGAAAATCTAGGCCCAATTTGCCGTTGTACAAAACAACCTTAGAGCTTAGGCTACATTAAGTCTGTGTTAAGGTATGGGAGTTACGGTCACCTTAGCGCTAAGATCGTTTTGTACAACAGCACCCAGATCTAAAGATTGATGCTCATGATATCAGTCACTGGATTGTCTGGTCAAGACTAACTTCATACAACGGGAATGTTCAACACCAAACAAACAGTCCAGTAATGGTTATTGTAGGAACTGAGAGAACTTGAGATGGGTTCTGAATACACAATGGCTTTGGAAAATGGTCATGTGTAACATATGTTGTGACAATAACCGATCTGTTCCTAACACATCCTTTATTCTGTTTTGCAGAGGGAAATGACAAACCTGGAACTGACTCTGTAGCTGAAGTAGCGCCAGTTGCCATGGAGACAGGAGAGAGGTCACCTGTGGACCAGGAAGAGTTCACCAGTGATGGGAGACAACTCTGTTCAGCTAAACTGGCCACAAAAATACATGGCTATGTACTAAAAACTCTCATTCCTGAACTCCATAAGCTGCTAACTCAGAAGGTAGGAATGATAGACTTGGACATAATATCTGGCAATCTAGTCATGAAAGATTCAGCATGTCTGCAAAGCTAATTCTTTGGATTATGATTTTACATTTTGAAGTATTTCATTTATGACACCATTAATAATGATAACTCTGAGCAATAATAAATTTGTCCCCATGCCTAGGCATGATCTAGGTATTACCCTTTCTTACCAATGAGCCTGACAATGTTCATATTATCAACCATGCCATCAACCACACTTCCTCCCTCCCACTCTCCCACTTGCTCGCTCGTTCACTCACTCGCTCACTCACTGCCTCCCTCGATTGCTCCCACTCACTCACTCACTGCCTCCCTCCCTCCCTCCCTCGCTTGCTCCAACTCATTCACTCTCACTCACTCACTCACTCGCTCACTGCCTCCTTCTATCCCTCGCTTGCTCCCACTCACTCACTCGTTCCAATTGCTGACAATGCTGTCAGTCACTGTTTTTCCACTAACTTGATGATTTACAGTTGCCATGATACAGCTTGAAAAGTGGTGGTATTTACAAATGAACTGCAGCCATTAGTGACAAATGTGTGTGTGTCCATAATGTGTGTCCATATTGTGTGTCCATAGTGTGTGTCCATAATGTGTGTCCATAGTGTGTGTCCATAATGTGTGTCCATAGTGTGTGTCCATAGTGTGTGTCCATAATGTGTGTCCATAATGTGTGTCCATAGTGTGTGTCCATAGTGTGTGTCCATAATGTGTGTCCATAATGTGTGTCCATAATGTGTGTCCATAATGTGTGTCCATAATGTGTGTCCATAGTGTGTGGCCATAATGTGTGTCCATAATGTGTGTCCATAGTGTGTGTCCATAGGTCCATAATGTGTGTCCATAATGTGTGTCCATAATGTGTGTCCATAGTGTGTGTCCATAATGTGTGTCCATAATGTGTGTCCATAGTGTGTGTCCATAATGTGTGTCCATAATGTGTGTCCATAATGTGTCCATAGTGTGTGTCCATAATGTGTGTCCATAGTGTGTGTCCATAATGTGTGTCCATGTGTGTGTGTCCATAATGTGTGTCCATAATTGTGTGTCCATAATGTGTGTCCATAGTGTGTGTCCATAGTGTGTGTCCATAATGTGTGTCCATAATGTGTGTCCATAGTGTGTGGCCATAGTGTGTGGCCATAGTGTGTGGCCATAATGTGTGGCCATAATGTGTGGCCATAATGTGTGTCCATAGTGTGTGTCCATAATGTGTGTCCATAGTGTGTGTCCATAGTGTGTGTCCATAGTGTGTGTCCATAATGTGTGTCCATAATGTGTGTCCATAGTGTGTGTCCATAGTGTGTGTCCATAGTGTGTGTCCATAATGTGTGTCCATAGTGTGTGTCCATAGTGTGTGTCCATAATGTGTGTCCATAATGTGTCCATAGTGTGTGTCCATAATGTGTGTCCATAGTGTGTGTCCATAATGTGTGTCCATAATGTGTGGCCATAATGTGTGTCCATAATGTGTGTCCATAGTGTGTGTCCATAGTGTGTGTCCATAATGTGTGTCCATAGTGTGTGTCCATAATGTGTGTCCATAATGTGTGTCCATAGTGTGTGTCCATAAATGTGTCCATAGTGTGTGTCCATAATGTGTGTCCATAGTGTGTGTCCATAGTGTGTGTCCATAGTGTGTGTCCATAATGTGTGTCCATAGTGTGTGTCCATAATGTGTGTCCATAGTGTGTGTCCATAATGTGTGTCCATAGTGTGTGGCTTTAAACAAACAAAGAAACAAATAAAGTGATTCCTGGTTTCAGATCAACAGAGAGGAGGAACACAAGTCTGTAAGGTCGAAGTTCGCTGATGACCATGAGATTCTGCGGGTGCCAATCGCCCTGGCTATGATCAAGTTGCTGCAGACTCTGCCCAGAGGGGCTCTCAAACACAAGCTGCCAGGGTGAGTGCTGTGAGCCATCACACCAAATTAGGAGCATTTCTTGAAGACATCGGGGCGTTGGGGTAGTCTAGTGGTTAAAGCGTTGGCTCGTCACGCCGAAGACCCAGGTTGGAATCCCCACATGGGCACAATGTGTGAAGCTCATTTATGGTGTCCCCCGCTGTGATGTTGCTGGAATATTGCTAAAAGCGGCGTAAACTAAACTCACTCACTCACACTCACTCACTCTCACTCACTCACTCACTCACTCACTCACTCACTCACTCACTCACTCACTCACTCACTCACTCACTCACTCACTCACTCACTCACTCACTCACTCACTCACTCACTCACTCACTCACTCACTCACTCACACACTCACTCACTCACTCACTCACTCCAATTGCTGCCAATGCTGTCAGTCACTGTTTTCCCACTAACTTGATGATTTACAGTTGCCATGATACAGCTTGAAAAGTGGTGGTATTTACAAATGAACTGCAGCCATTATTGAAAAATGTGTGTCCATAATTTCTTTTGAGTAGTATATAAATGCAAAATACTCATCTCAAGCAGTATGCTATACAATTCTGAAACTGACTGTTCCAGCATATTGATGAAGGTGTGTAGCTTCTTGAAGTCCCGATCCCGGGAAGTTAGAGAGACGTCACGTGACACCCTTGTCCGTATCAGTCAGTCACTCGGTCTGCGGTACTTCAACTTCATTGTGAAGGAAATGAGGGAAGCTCTTACAAGAGGCTATCAGGTAGGTGGAAGACTGACATGGTTTGGCTACCCCTTATGTCCAACCATATTATAGTCTTTTTGCAGTGAAAATGTACCGATGAATTTCACTTTAAACAAGAAAGTAAATCAAATATAGTGAAATTAAGATTGCGAATCCTCATAATTTTACCTTGCCAACTGAACATTTAAATATCAGAATTTTATTCATCTTAGGATAAAAGTTGTTTAACAAATGATCATAGTTTCAAATCGTTATTATTGGTTTGTATTACAAGGGGGTATGCACATTACATGAAACACCGAAAACAAGTAGGGTTGGTCTAAGTTAACGCACATCACGTACCGCACTGCATTTGTTTCAGTGTTCCAACTACTGCGCTTACCCCCTTGTAATACAAACCAATAATAGCGATTTGAATCTATGATCGTTTGTGAAACAACTTTTATCCTAAGATGAATAAAATTCTGAGATTCAAATGTTCAATTGGCAAGGTAAAATTATGAGGATTCTCAATCTTAATTTCACTTTATTTGATTTACTTTTTTGTTTAAAGTGAAATTCATCGGTACGTTTTCACTGCAAACAGACTATAGTTGATGACATTACAGTCATAAACAGAATCTGTGAAACATCATCTTACATTATTTTTAAAATAACTTTTGTTATCTCACTCGACTGAAAGTCAGGTGAGCTTCTGACATGGTGAATTGTCCATAGTCTGTCCACTCTTGAACTTTTAACTTTGATCAAGCTATGACCATTTCACCTTCACATTTGACCCCGAATTTTGTAGTGTTACTGGATTTTCTACATTTTCTATCGTCTCTGAAAACTACAAAAGTTTTCCCCTACTATCCCCACTATGGCACCTATAGAGTATGCTTACAGAATTAAATGAAACTTTAATCATGGCCTCCTTGTTTCGCCCTGATTCAGGGTAGGTACAGATCCAGTATTTTCCACACTTTTAATCACTCCAATCCATCTGTGTTGATATCATGTGATCTCCACCCACAGCTTCAGGTGTTGGGATTCTCCGTCAACAGACTCCTCATCAACATCCAGCCTCAACTCAAACCGGGTGACCTTGACCCAGCTCTACACAACCTCTCAGAGGTCAGTTTCTTCAGACATGACTTTCTGATATTGTTACTCATGATATGACTTTAATGCCGCTAGGTAATTGATAAAACATGTTTTAAATTGATCATCTATTCAGTCTATGTTAATAGAGATTACTGCCAGATAACTGTAAAGAGTGCAGGGATGGTGTCTGTATGTCAGGCAGTCGGTCAGATTGATGTAGGAGGTGAGGTGAATTGGGTTTTAACGTTGTGCTTGAGAATATTTCGCTCATATGACGACTTGCATGCGTGTGTATGTGTATGTGCGTCTGCTTGTACTAGCCCAGACTTAAGCTGGTTTTATAGTGCTAGCCCACTGAGATACCATGCCGCAGTGAAGCATGAATACCCCACTCAGACACATTATACTGACTCCGAGCCGACCAGTCCTTATTGTACCAATTAATGCCGAGCGCCAGGCAGGGACCAACAAGTACCATATTTTAACGTCTTTTGGTATGACGCGGTTGGGGATCGAACCCGCGACCTTCCGCTCTCCGGGCGGACGCTCTAACCACTACACCACGGATGCAGTCACGATTGATGTAGGAAGGCCAGCCGGTCCCAGCTATGTTCTTAGAGTGAGGTACTCTTTTAACTAATGCATCTGGAGGGAGGAAGTAATTCATCTGCTGTGCGTTCAGGTTTTCAAGGAGGAGTTGTTCGGGACAGTTGCGGAGGAGAAGGATGTGGAGGGAATCACCAAGAAACTCATGGAAGCCAAGGAGACAAAGAGTTACGATTCGTATGAGATTGTAGCCAAATATGTTGGGGTGGGATCTGTCCACAACCTTATATCTTCCCTGAAACAGGTGAGTGTCAGTCTACAATACAGTGCTACATTTTCTTAACTTTCCCGGTATAATGAAATGATTTTAATATAGAATCATTACTGTGCTTGTGAGTAGGAAGAAGCGATCGTAGGGACAAAGATGGAATAAGTGTTGCACTTGTGCCCAATCTCTTTTGGGTGAGTGAGTGAGTGGGTTAAGTTGTTTTAGCAATATTCCAGCAATATCATGCTGGGGACACCAGAAATGGGCTTCACACATTGTTCCCATGTAGGGAATTGAACCTGAGTCTTCTGCGTGACTAGCGAACGCCTTAACCACTAGGCCACCCCACTGCCCCTTATGTGGATGAAAATTGATCATGACAAACACTTATGCTGGAAAAGCAAGGAACAGATGAATGGATATTAAAAGAACTAAAATGTGTTGAAATAATTTTTTGCAAAATACAGTGGAAGCTGTCAAAACCGGCAGCTGTCCAATCCTGCAAGGTGTCAACATCGCATAAAATCTCAGTCCCGGCCCATGGCATTTATAATTATTTTAAAGCTCTGCAATCCGCAGCTGTCAATTCCAGATCTCGCATGAAATGAGCCACCGAATATGTGTTTATACAGCAATCAGCACTGTCTAATCCAGCATGGTAAGGAATGAGTAATCCTGTGTTGAAACTACATGGTTCCCCGACAAAGATAATTTAATCTTAGTTCAGTATGGGTGTACTTGTACATGTAATTAGTGAGTTGAGAGAGAAATTGGGAGAACCACCTTATACAACAATGTATATGAGAGTGATAAAACTGGTTTAGTTCTAGTCGTAGGTAACCGTGTCAGCTCTACAATCCGGTACGCTGTCGAAACCTAATTATTTATTCAGTCCCGACGTGTGCCGGTTTAGACAGCTTCCACTGTAGTCTGAATGATTACTGCCTATTTCAGCTACTTGAGAGCACTCACAGTCAGAAGACATCCCAGAAGGTGGAGGAAGTGTTCCGGAGGATGACTAGTGGTCTGATGGAGAACACAGGACTCACCACGGGGATGTGGATGACTCTGCTGCATGGACTCATTGTGGACAACATGGAGGAGGTGGAGGAGGAGAAACAGAGGTGAGGCTGGCATGGGTGAAAGTAGAATTGATGGATGTCTGAGAGAGGTGAGGCTGGCATGGGTGAGAGTAGAATTGATGGATGTCTGAGAGAGGTGAGGCTGGCATGGGTGAGAGTAGAATTGATGGATGTCTGAGAGAGGTGAGGCTGGCATGGGTGAGAGTAGAATTGATGGATGTCTGAGAGAGGTGAGGCTGGCATGGGTGAGAGTAGAATTGATGGATGTCTGAGAGAGGTGAGAGAAGACATTGTATGAGAAATTGTGTGTGAAGAGAGGATGCATATGTGAGTTTATGTCTGGAAATGGAGGATGCATGTGTGAGAGATTGTGAGAGAAGTCAGTTTGTGAGAGATTATGGTAGAAGAAGGGAGGATGCATGTGTGAGAGATTGTGAGAGAAGTCAGTTTGTGAGAGCTTATGGGAGAAGAAGGGAGGATGCATGTGTGAGAGATTGTGAGAGAAGTCAGTTTGTGAGAGATTATGGGAGAAGAAGGGAGGATGCATGTGTGAGAGATTTGTGAGAGAGTCACCCAATCATGTCTGTACACAAGTGAGACCGAAGCTGGAATGTCCTACTACCTTGGTCTCTAAACATTTCGCAAATTAACCAGATTGTACCCAAGGGCCTATAGAGGCTGAGAGACCTATAAAATGCAACATAACAGAAATATTTCCAGTAGAAGTATTCAAAATGACACATGACGTCTTTAACATGTTATCAGAGAGGCTGGAACAGAAAAGGAGAAAGAGTCACAGCTTGTCCGAAGACCTGAGAATTGCCTCCTCCTACCATCTGCTCTTCCTCGTGGAGGAGAGAAGTCAAAAACACATCGCAAGACCAACATGCATATCATGGTTGCATTCGGGGCCCAGGTATGGCATTGTTTTTGTTTCATAAACGTCATGCAATTCCACAACAGTGTAGCCATATCCAACAGCCTCACACTTTGATAGTGGCAAGTCCTGGGCTTGATTCGCAGGCTCCACGAAAACTTACCCATGCCCACCCGCTTTCGGAAAACCAGCACATCAAACAAAGTTCTTACTCTCCTACAGTTCTTTTTGAATTTACTTGTTAAAATTTGTATTATTTTACACAGATTTATCAGAAAGAAGACAGTCTTGCATGAGCAGCTAGTTCAAAAACTGAATTTAATCTTTTAATGTTTTGAGTATAGCATAATTGGTGTTCTGTAGATATTGCACATGTGTCTGAAGAGGTCACACCTGTTACCGTCCAACTACGAGCACCTGCAGCTCCTGGACCCCCTGGTGGAGCCCCTGTGTCGCTGTCTCTACTCCAAGCATGTCAAGGTAGGCCAACTCACCTATGTTGTTATCAAGCATGTCAAGGTAGGCCATTTCACCTGTGTCGTGATCGATCATGTCATGGTAGACAATTTCACCTGTGTCACTGTCAAGTTTGTCAAGGTAGGCCATTTCACCTGTTTTGTTCTCAAGCATGTCAAGGTAGGCCATTTCACCTGTGTTGCTATCAAGCATGTCAAGGTAGGCCATTTCACCTGTGTCACTGTCAAGCATGTTAAGGTAGGCCATTTCACCTGTGTTGCTATCAAGCATGTCAAGGTAGGCCATTTCACCTGTGTCACTGTCAAACATGTCAAGGTAGGCCATTTCACCTGTTTTGCTATCAAGCATGTCAAGGTAGGCCATTTCACCTGTGTCACTGTCAAACATGTCAAGGTAGGCCATTTCACCTGTTTTGCTATCAAGCATGTCAAGGTAGGCCATTTCACCTGTGTTGCTGTCAAGCATGTCAGGGTAGGCCATTTGACCTGTGTTGCTGTCAAGCATGTCAAGGTAGGCCATTTCACCTGTTTCGCTGTCAAACATGTCAAGGTAGGCCGTTCCACCTGTGTTGCTGTCAAGCATGTCAAGGTAGGCCATTTCACCTGTTTTGCTTGCAAGCATGTCAAGGTAGGCCATTTCACCTGTGTTCTTATCAAACATGTCAAGGTAGGCCATTTCACTGTTTTGCTATCAAACATGTCAAGGTAGGCCATTTCACCTGTGTTGCTATCAAGCATCTCAAGGTAGGCCATTTCACCTGTGTTGCTATCAAGCATGTCAAGGTAGGCCATTTGACCTGTTTTGCTATCAAACATGTCAAGGTAGGCCATTTCACCTGTGTTGTTATCAAACATGTCAAGGTAGGCCATTTCACCTGTTTTGCTGGTAAGCATGTCAAGGTAGGCCATTTCACTGTTTTGCTATCAAACATGTCAAGGTAGGCCATTTCACCTGTTTTGTTTGCAAGCATGTCAAGGTAGGCCATTTCACCTGTGTTGCTGTCAAGCATGTCAGGGTGGGCGATTTCACCTGATTTGCTATCAAGAATGTCAAGGTAGGCCATTTCACCTGTTTTGCTTGCAAGCATGTCAAGGTAGGCTATTTCACCTGTGTTGTTATCAAACATGTCAAGGTAGGCCATTTCACTGTTTTGCTATCAAACATGTCAAGGTAGCCCATTTGACCTGTGTTGCTATCAAGCATGTCAAGGTAGGCCATTGGACCTGTGTTGTTATCAAACATGTCAAGGTAGGCCATTTCACTGTTTTGCTATCAAGCATCTCAAGGTAGGCCATTTCACCTGTTTTGCTATCAAAAATGTCAAGGTAGGCCATTTGACCTGTTTTGCTATCAAACATGTCAAAGTAGGCCATTTCACCTGTGTTGTTATCAAACATGTCAAGGTAGGCCATTTCACCTGTTTTGCTGGTAAGCATGTCAAGGTAGGCCATTTCACTGTTTTGCTGTCAAACATGTCAAGGTAGGCCATTTCACCTGTTTTGTTTGCAAGCATGTCAAGGTAGGCCATTTCACCTGTGTTGCTGTCAAGCATGTCAGGGTGGGCGATTTCACCTGATTTGCTATCAAACATGTCAGGGTAGGCCATTTCACTGTTTTGCTATCAAGCATGTCAAGGTAGGCTATTTCACCTGTGTCACTGTCAAGCTTGTCAAGGTAGGCCATTTCACCTGTGTTGTTATCAAACATGTCAAGGTAGGCCATTTCACTGTTTTGCTATCAAGCATCTCAAGGTAGGCCATTTCACCTGTTTTGCTATCAAAAATGTCAAGGTAGGCCATTTCACTGTTTTGCTATCAAACATGTCAAGGTAGGCCATTTCACCTGTTTCGCTGTCAAGCATGTCAAGGTAGGCCATTTGACCTGTGCTGCTATCAAGCATCTCAAGGTAGGCCATTTGACCTGTGTTGCTATCAAACATGTCAGGGTAGGCCATTTCACCTGTGTTGCTATCTAACATGTCAAGGTAGGCCATTTCACCTGTTTTGCTATCAAGCATGTCAAGGTAGGCCATTTCACTGTTTTGCTGTCAAACATGTCAAGGTAGGCCATTTCACCTGTGTCACTTTCAAGCATGTCAGGGTAGGCGATTTCACCTGATTTGCTATCAAGAATGTCAAGGTAGGCCATTTCACCTGTGTCACTTTCAAGCATGTCAGGGTGGGCGATTTCACCTGTTTTGCTATCAAGCATCTCAAGGTAGGCCATTTCACCTGTTTTGCTATCAAAAATGTCAAGGTAGGCCATTTCACTGTTTTGCTATCAAACATGTCAAGGTAGGCCATTTCACCTGTTTCGCTGTCAAGCATGTCAAAGTAGGCCATTTCACTGTTTTGCTATCAAACATGTCAGGGTAGGCCATTTCACTGTTTTGCTATCAAGCATGTCAAGGTAGGCCATTTCACCTGTGTCACTGTCAAGCTTGTCAAGGTAGGCCATTTCACCTGTGTTGTTATCAAACATGTCAAGGTAGGCCATTTCACTCTTTTGCTATCAAGCATGTCAAGGTAGGCCATTTGACCTGTGTTGTTATCAAACATGTCAAGGTAGGCCATTTCACTGTTTTGCTATCAAGCATCTCAAGGTAGGCCATTTCACCTGTTTTGCTATCAAAAATGTCAAGGTAGGCCATTTCACTGTTTTGCTATCAAACATGTCAAGGTAGGCCATTTCACCTGTTTCGCTGTCAAGCATCTCAAAGTAGGCCATTTCACTGTTTTGCTATCAAACATGTCAGGGTAGGCCATTTCACTGTTTTGCGTCAAGCATGTCAAGGTAGGCCATTTCACCTGTGTTGTTATCAAACATGTCAAGGTAGGCCATTTCACTCTTTTGCTATCAAAGCGTGTCAAGGTAGGCCATTTCACCTGTGTTGTTATCCAACATGTCAAGGTAGGCCATTTCACTGTTTTGCTATCAAGCATGTCAAGGTAGGCCATTTCACCTGTGTCACTGTGAAGCATGTCAAGGTAGACCATTTCACCCGTGTGTCGCGATCGAGCATGTCAAGGTAGGCCATTTAATCCCTGTCACTGTCAAGTTTGTCAAGGTAGGCCAGACTCACCTGTGTCACTTTCAAGCATATCAAGGTAAACCAACTCACCTGTTTGTGTCACTGTCAAAGGTTGGCCAACTTGTCTGTCAGTGTGTCTGTGTCATCAACCACCGCTTTGTCTATTCTAGGTTTTACCATTTACAGGTTGCCACATTCCCTTTCAGGTGAATTCCCTTGCTCTGCGATGCTTCTCTTTCATCCTGAAGTTCCCTCTCCCAGCCCTGAAGAAGAACATCAGCAAGATATCTCAGGGGATGTTCCTGTTGCTGAGCAACTATGCCTCTGCCGGAGCAGCAAGGGGAGATAACCAGGAGCTGGTCATCATGTGCTTCAAGGTAGGCTCAAACAGCTAGGCAGAGGGACTGTGTTGTATACAGATGGAATTATACACCAAATCAGTCTTAGACTGGCATCTAGCTATAGAAGTTTGTTGAGGTAATGGAACATGGAGAACTACTTTATTGATTGTCATGACACCACCTTGTTTTGTTTTTCATGACAGGACCTTTGAGGGCAAATTCTTGGGTCCCACCCAGTTTCAGATGGGACTCAAACCAAAAATGTGCTAGATTCTTACCTTATGCTGAATGTGTGTAGGGTGAAAGATAGACGGCTGTAGTTGTGTGTGTAGGCTGTGATGTTGTTGACGGCTGTAGTTGTCTGTGTAGGCTGTGACGGTGCTGGTGAGAGACGTGGACTTCTACCAAGTGGATACAGAACAACTACAAGTGCTCCTGACGTTCTGTGAGGAGGATCTGCTGGATCACACGAGACAGAGCACTGGCTTCAACCTGCTCCGGGTAAGCAGAACGTTCACAATGTGTCATTGAATTAGCTTAGGGTCAGGAATAATCCAGTCTTTTGCGACAAATGTTTGCAAGTCTTCCTCTAAATGTCACATTAATACTTGTGCATCTTCACGAACCCTTGCTTGTCATAAAAGGTGAGCGGTGGTGGGGTAGCCTAGTGGTTAAAGCGTTCGATCGTCATGCCGAAGACATGGTCTCTCCCGCCATGATATTGCTGGAATATTGCTAAATGCGGCGTCAAACTAAACTCACTCACTACAAAAGGTGCGTCATAGGATTTGTTTGGTAAGGTTTGTTGACTTGGTTGATGCACATCATGTTATCATAATTATGTACACGATGCCCACGATGTTGGTCACTGGATTGTCTGGTGCAGACTTAAATATTTACTGATCACCATGATATTTTACCAAATATTACCGAGCGCGATTTTAAACTGCAAACAATCTGATTTGTTCATAATATATTGTGGCTTTGACTAAATGGGATAATAACCAGAAAGTTGAGTATCACTAATACTGTTCACAGCCATATTATATGTGCTAACTCATAATTCACTTATTTTCCCTTAGCCTGACTCATGCTTAATTGCTTGTCTCCTTCTTCTTGCGAATGATAGTGGAACACTTGAATCCCCTTTTGAAGCTCCTTTAAAAAAAGCGGACGTAAAATCACTCACCCAGTGTTATCTCCCTTTAGATGTTTTGGCGGGAAATCCGTCACATGACCCAACATGCTCCTCACTCTCTCCTTCTTAGCCCTAGAGGACGGTTGTGAGAGCGCCTGGGTCCCCTATACGGCGTTATATCCTTTTATATTAAGGCCTTTACTACTAAATTAGCTGTATACGGCATTTAGGATGATATACCAGCAATATGGTTTGAAATTTTTGTCTACATTATCTGTATTTTCACTTTGTTGACATGATTTTTCATCTTGTTTACAATTGATGAAAACTGATGATGAAAGGTACCGTTTGTCGGTTGCTGATCCGCATTTATTATGTCCTAGTTGTACTTCTACATGTTCTTCCAGCTTTCGCTGTCAACTTTGTCAGCATTTATGTGAAATTGAATTTAATAATTATTTATATTCCATTCTTAGACTTGCCAACGACAGGTCTAGACGGCTTTTACAAGTCATGTCTATATCGAGTGATTGCGCTGATAACAGTTCATTGCTGTCTGCTGACATTCACCATTCCAGTGATTTACCGGTTGCTACTACGGAGCATGTTGCTGTTGCAGATGGTAGCTCCGGCTCCAGGAAGAGGTCGTCAACATCAACATTAGCCTCGTCACAGTCTAAGAAGACCAGGGCATCGTCTTCACAGAAAAAGAAGTCGTCTGCAGATAAGACTTCGGCGAAGTCTTCCCATGGGGCAGCGCACAAAACGAGGTCCTTCACTGCAGAGATCATCCCTTCAGACAAAGTAGACGTATGTGACGAGCTACCCAACCTCATTCCTGAAGTAGCAGTGAAGAAGAAGACGAGCTCTTCTTCTACAGTAACATGAGCAGTCATCCCAGTGCAGTCAGACGTTTTATCAACGCAGACTTCATATAGAGACGGCAGGTCTTCACAAGCCTCAGCACTCTCAGATGCGTCGTCATCACTGCAGCAGCAGCAGCCATCCTCGCAGAGTTTCAACCTGGGTATCTTCATGCAGCAGTTTACTCAGCAGATGTTGCACCTGATGGAACAAAGGTTCGCGCAGGAGAAAGCTGCAGCGAAGGCCCTATCCACTACGAACCCGCATGAAGGACAAGCAGCCTGCACATCGCGTCCCGCTGAAGATAGTAGCCTGCGTGAAGGAGGAAACTTACGTGAAGGATCATGCACTCAATGATGTTCCTCGACAACTTCACGAGTACCTACCAGCCCTGACAACGATGAATCTGCAATAGCTGTTCCAGAAGAGCCTTCGCACAGGAGCAGAACCAGACGTTCACCGGAGCGTCGCAGATCATCCTCCACCTCAGATACGGACTGCCATCAGGAGCCTACGCGCAGGTACCCTGCATACCGTAGAAGAGAAACTACACCTTCACGAAGGCACAGAGATACGTCAAGACTCCAGGGAGGATCCTTATCCGAATCGGTCGCCTGCGGCGCAGAGTCTCCGCGCATGAAGTCTCCGCGCAGATCTCCACGCAGGAAGGAGACTCAACGGCAACGATCTTCAGAACAAGAGGCCTCTAGATCTGAAGATGATGGCGGAATCATATTCTCCGATACAGATATCAAATCTTGGATGGCTAATGGATTGGAACTTGCATCACCTTCTAAAGAAGATAATGAAGCATTCACGTATATTATGTCGAACGACGATTTTGATATGCTTACACTTCCACCCATCGATCCTGTCTTGGATGTACCTCAGCACAGCCTTCAGGAAGGCAACGAAGTTCCAGAGTCAAAGCGTCCCGCCATTCAACGCCAAGAAGTTCTCACTTCACCACATGGAACCCTTCATGAAGGCCCCAGAGATAGATGAGAACTACAAAATCATCAACGACTCCAGATCAAGGACTTATAAAATAGAGGATAAAAAGTTGGCACAACTAGACACAACTACCAGACGTACCTTCTTTGGTCTAGCCAGGTCAAGAGCTATAAATGAAACCCTCATCGCGAAGTTCAGGAACTCGACCTCTGAAGAAGATAGGATGATTTACTCTGCATTGCTGACCCAAAAGAAAGATCATCAGCTTATGTCCAAACATCTGGCTTCCACATCAGCGGGCCTGATGCTCTTGAGAAGACAAGGATTGCTGTCTTCCTGCAGTTGGAGTGAGCGCTTCAGCAAGACACTGTACAGAGCTCCGTGGTCAGCATCGTCTATCTTCGCAGGGGAAATTGAGGACGTGGCCAAGGAAGTGACGAAAGAGTCAAGGGAGGTAATGATGATCAAGTCCATCGATACACTGGCCAGTGTTATCCATCAGACATCGCAACGCTACTCCGGCAAGTCGAAATTTACTGGGATACAGAGACCCAGGGAAAAGAAATACGGCAGCTTCAGTGGAAGCAAGGATTCTTTTCGTCGCCCAACCGGAGCTCCCAGAGGTAACCCCAGAAGAGGCAGGGCACTCAGAGGTGCCAGGAACTTGAGACACTGAAGGACGGGTTCGGAACGACTGGAGTCTTCCATCCCCAGCCGTTCCCATACAACCTTCAACAGTGGGTGGACGTATACAAAGCTACTGGGATAATTGGGGAATTCTTCAGGATGACTACGTATCCCAGATCCTACGCAGAGGATACAAGATACAACTACAAGCAGTACCACCATTGACAAGCAACTCTGTGGCCCACAACTATGCTGCCGACCAGATGGAGAACCTACCGATGCCATCACAACTCTACTGGAGAAAGGCGATCGAAGAAATAAAACAGGAGCTCCTCACCCCGGTTTTACTCCCCAATCTTCCTAGTACCAAAGAAAAATTCCTGGGAAAAGTTCTGACTCAGTCGAATGTTTGCTGAGGAACCTACTTATCAGAGCCAGAGTGCAACACTCATCTTTACGTAGATGCATCACTTCAAGGATGGGAGCCCACCTCGACAACAAAGTGTCAGCAGGAAATGGTTGAGTCAGGAGTAGAGTCTGCTCATCAACATGCTTTCGAGATGAAAGCAGTAATAAAGGCCTTACTACACTGGTCCAGCATACTAAGGAGCGAACAACTGATGATCCATACAGACAACTCCACAGTGGCGTTCTTCATCCAACAAACAAGGATCAACAAGATCAAGGAATCTTCTAGACCTCAGCTTTCATCTGTTCAGCATAATAGACAACCTGAACATCGACATAAAAGCATGCCACATTCCGGAGCCAAGAATGTGATAGCAGGCGTCTATCTCGTCCAACACAACCATCCCCGACTGAATGGATGTTACATCCAGAAGCCTTCCGATGCATCATACAGAGGATAGGATCTCCGCTGATAGACCTGTTTGCTAAAAACTTCAACAAACAACTACCAACATTCGTCTCTCCAGTCCCGGATCTACAAGCACGGGCAACAGATGCTCTAAGCATCTCCTGAGAAGGACTAAACGCTTACGAGTTTCCACCTCCAGCTCTAATACCACAGGTGTTGCAGAAAATCAAGCAGACGAAGAAGCTGCAACTGATTATGGTCACACCCTACTGGCCAGCGAGGGTGTGGTTTCCCATCCTCATACAAGAACTCGGAAGTCCAGCCCTGCAACTCCCAGAGTGGCCGAACCTATTAATTCATCCGCACACCAAGCAAGCACACGGGAATCCAACAGTATTCCAGCTACACACATGGAACGTATCAAGACTTGCTTGAAGAAAAGAGGATATTCCGCCAGAGCAGCGAAAGCAGTCACACTAGCTCTACGTAGATCAACCCGCAACTTGTACCACGACAAGTGGCAGAGTTTTGAGAAATATGCATTGAGGAAGGGCTTCACGGCGATGAAAGCAACACATCCTCAAGTGGCAGAATAACTTTGTCACCTAAGACAAATGAGGCGGTTAAAAGGTTCAACACTCTCTACATACCTAGCGTCCCTCAGCACGGTTATCACCATGAAGACGGGTGTCAAACTGACCAAAGTACCAGGGATACTAGTTCTACTACGCTCCTTCAAGTTGGAAGACCAACAAAAGAAATTTAAGGCGCCTGCTTGGGATCTCAACGTAGTCTTGCAGCATCTCACCAGTGACGCTTACGAACCACTAGAAAGGACATCCTATGAGTTTCTAACACGCAAAACTCTGTTCCTGATTGCCTTGGCAACAGCAGCTCGGATGTCGGAATGCTCTGGACTTTGAACGAATACGATTTGATGCACATCGCAGCATCATACATCTGGGATTGAGATGGGACTTTATAGCAAAGAATCAACTGCCCGGTCAACCAGACAGACAGTTCCACATCCCAGCACTCTCGACAGTCCTTGGGCCACAGGATACTCAGGACCTATCCTTATGCCCAGTCAGAGCATTGAAAGTCTACCTACAAAGGTCTAAGACGAGGAGACGAAAATTCAAGCTCCTTTTCACCCCTCTATCTACGGAGACGCCTACAGAGGTCTCACGTACGATGATATCGATATGGATAAGAGCCGTCATCCTAAGAGCCTACAAAGCAGCAGGACTTGAGCCTCCACGAGCCTCCAACCCTCATGAAGTCAGAGTGCTGGCATCGACACTGGCTCTGCATGGAAACTGCTCCATCTCGACAATAATGGAGGGCTGCTTTTGGAAGTTGGAGACGGTGTTTGCCAACCACTACCTCAGAGACATTGCTACCGAGGACGTCTCCGGCATTCACCAGTTTGGGCCTCTTGTTGTAGCACAACAATTGACGGTTCCTCAAAGGCGCTGAGATGAATCTCACCCTTTTATCACGTGACTTGTAAAAGCCAACGCTCTGAAGAGCTAGAGCTTAGAGTCCATGCACACGTCTAAGACAGGCCAGCATGAGTGACAGACCCTGTACTTGTAAAGGACTTACTTGTACATGAAGAAGGGTCGCTTCTCCACTTGATGGAGTTGCATATATCCACACATAATGTCAGGAGAAGACGGTTCCAGAGTAATGTGACAAGTTGTGGTCCCCCTAGACTCATCAGAGGAAGCTGGAATAAAGGATCAGCACAGTGCCCTAAGAAGTTCCCTCAGGGTGGGGGTGAGGGGGTATGCAGGACGTAAAGCAGCAAGCTATGAATCCAGAGTGGCTTGACCCACCACCGGTACCGGTCAGATTCTACAAGCAATTAAGCATGAGTCAGGATAAGGAAAAATATGTAATTTTTTTATTAAAATTGATATTTTATACTTATCCTGACTCATGACGTCAGCCCTCCCAACCAACCCTCATGGCACTCTGGATTCCCTGTAATCCGGGTGTCGGGCTCATATTCGGAGAGAGTGAAGAGCGTGTTTGGTCATGTGACAGATTTTGCCGCCAAAATACCTAAGGGAGGTAACACTGGGTGAGTGATTTTAAAGGGAGCTTTTTTGAAGGGAGCTTCAAAAGGGGATTCAAGTGTTCCACTATCATTCGCAAGAAGAAGGAGACAAGCAATTAAGCATGAGTCAGGATAAGTATGAAATATCAATTTTAATTAAAAAATTACATTATTGACATTCATGTACATCTTCTTTGATTGACTGTTTTTCTTCAGGCTATCTTGTCACGAAAGTTGAAGGTGAAAGAGCTGCATGACCTAATGGAGAGAGTGCGAGAATTGTCCATCACTGGCTCGTCAGGCCATGTCAAGCTGCACTGTAGACAGGTAGGCGTGAGTTTATTGACCTGAGATGTAACATCCCTGAAATGTTGATACTAATTGCATATCTCTTTCCATTCCCAAATGGTAGTGGAAACTAGTAGTAGTTCCCAGTGAACAGAAAATAATATTTGTTTTTAGTAAAATAATTGACAGATTTGATAAAAGTGGTAATCCCAAATGGTAGTGGAAACTAGTAGTAGTTCCCAGTGAACAGAAAATAATATTTGTTTTTAGTAAAATAATTGACAGATTTGATAACTTAAGGGGGTGGTGTGCTCCAATTCCCAAATGGTAGTGGAAACTAGTAGTAGTTCCCAGTGAACAGAAATTTTAGTAAAAAAAAAGACAGATTTGATAACTTAAGGGGGTGGTGTGCTCCCATTCCCAAATGGTAGTGGAAACTAGTAGTAGTTCCCAGTGAACAGAAAATAATATTTGTTTAGTAAAAAAAATTGACAGGTTTGATTACTTAAGGGAGGGGTGTGGTGGTAGCCTAATGGTTAAAGTGTTTGCTTGTCATGCCAATGACCCAGGTTTGATTTCCGCGCATGGGCAAAATGGGAAAAGCCCATTTCAGGATATTGCTGAAATATTGCTAAAAAAGGTGTAAAACCAAACTGTCACTCACTCATAAACTTAAGGAGTAAGATTTGTATTCAGCAGTACACTTTTCAACAGGCTCTTAAACTGTATTTTGTGATCTGACTGTGTGACTTGCTTGTGTGTATTACTACTTGTTGTGTCTAGCCAAGAGGTTATAGACCACTGTGAGAGCCTGATTACTGCTCACAGTGTCTAGCTACACACAAACAAGTCTGAATATCCGATGGCCAACTGTGAGCGTCTACTGTCTGTTGATTACAGGTGTTCCTGCAGTACCTGTTGGACTACCCCCAGAAGAATGCCGCCCTCGCCAAACACATGGAGTACTACGTGACCCAACTGACCTATGAACTGGAGGAGGGTCGAGTCTCAGCGCTAGAGATGCTGGCCACAATTTTCTCCAACTTCCCAGTCGTGAGTAGCTTGGTTATTTCACAGAGTGCAAGAGGTGATGGGGTAGCCTAGTGGTTAAAGTGTTGACTCATCATGCCAAAGGCCCGGGTTCGATTCCCAACATGGGTACAATGTGTGAAGTCCTTTTCTGGTGTCCCCCTGTTGTGATTTTGCTGGATTATCGCTAAACGTGGCATAAAACTAAACTCGCTCCCAAAGTGCAGATCCCTGAAGATCTGGGCTAGAATTGGTCTTCAGCAACCCATGCTTGATGTAAGAGTATATTGTAAGCCTTCATTAAGTATGGGAGGTACAGTTATTTGTATGATCACTTCATGGAAATAGGGGCGGTGGGGTAGCCTAGTGGTTAAAGCGTTGGCTCGTCACACCGAAGACACGGGTTCGATTCCCCACATGGGTACAATGTGTGAAGCCCATTTCTGGTGTTCTCCGCTGTGATATTGCTGGAATATTGCTAAAAGCGGCGTAAAACCAAATCAATCACTCACTCACTAACTCATGGAAATAGATGGGTTTGGTGTTATAATCAGTATGTCTATTTCTCCATGGGTATGATTTTTGTTAAGTTTAACAAAGACTGGTTTGCCTGGTTTGTCCACATTGAAAGGCTCACGTGAACAAGTCATCTGTGGAAGCACTCTGTACCAATCAGGACCTGATCAACACAGTGATCTTTGTGGTACCATTGTTGTAAGACTATTTTAACCATGGGGGTTATGATCATCTTGGAGTAAAGGTCACTTTGTGAAAGGGTATTGCTTTATGCTGCTTTAGCAATATTCCAGCAATTTCACGGCAGGGTATCAAACCTGTGTCTGGGTGATGAGCAAACACTTTTACTACTGTGTTGGTCCATCCACTTTGTGGAATGAGGCTTTGGAACATGTCACCTTTAGGAGATATACATTGCCCAATTTAGTGTTGGCCAATTTCTGATGGGTAGTTATTGACGCCTCTTTACATCGAGATGACATTTATTCATTAACATAATGCTGAACGTAGTAGAGCATGCACTGTGTTTACTGTGTTTAGTAAGTTGGTCTCCATCTGTTGTACATGTTTAGATGTTGTGAATGTGACAATACACATAATAAACAGCACTCTCCCTCTTTCACATCCTACAGAAAGTGCTGATTCAGTTCGCCGGTTTGTTCTTTGTGCCCATGACGGCCAGCTTGATGAACGACGAGTCCCAGAAGTGTCGCAAGCTGACTGCCCTGGCAATCAAGGCTTTACTGGAAAAGGTGACACTAGAGTTCACACATTAGAATGGTATCAATTGAAAATATAACTGTATATATGTCCTTATACACCATCTTCGTTATCTATAGGATGAAATATCGTCTCCCTCAGCAGGACTAAGGTCTGAGGTCAACTGTATCAAAATGACGTTAAAATGCTGTTGGTTTATTTCATTACCTGGTCAAGTTACGAATGCACCAAACAGGCAAGTCAGGGGGTCAAACAACCTGATCCCATAACGCACCTTGTGTGACACGTAAAGGGACTGATTCCAACCTAGATTCCCAGTGGGTTGAGAAAATACCATTAAAATTTATGATCTGCTGTTCTAGGTTGATGCAGCTACTCGAGATGTGCTGTTTTCCATTGTGTCCAGCTGGATGAAAGACGAGAAGGTAAGTGTGTGAGTCATTGATTGGAGTCTAAGGAAGATGTTATTGTGGGCTGTTATCTTATGGGCTTGTTTGGTTGGTGTCCAGGTATGAGTGAATGAATGAGTGAATGAGTGAGTTTAGTTTTACACCACACTCAGCAATATTCCAGCTATATGATGGCGGTCTGTACATAATCGAGTCTGAACCAGACAATCCAGTGATCAACAGCATGAGCATCGGTCTGCACAATTGGGAACTGATGACATGTGTCAACCAAGCCAGCGAGCCTGACTACCCGATCCCTTTAGTCGCCTCTTACGACAAGGATCGGTCCAGGTATGATGTCCATGGATGTTGCCTTTGGAAAAGTGTTGGACGGTGTTGTTTGAGCGATGTCAGTTGATGATGATTGCGGATGTTGTTTTGGAAAGTGCTGATTGTTGTTTAATGAGGTTCTTGAGAGGCATATAGAAGTTGGTATTCAAGTATAAGACAAAATATTATGGATGTCAACTTCTTCTTTATTGTATACATTAGGTTTCTGGGCTATTCCCTGCCCCTTCATCACCTGGAATTCTCTTATAAGTGTTGTTTGAGTGATGTCTGTTGATGGTTGCGGATGTTGTTTTAGAAAATGTTGATGGACAGTGTTGTTTGAGTGATGTCTGTTGATGGTTGCGGATGTTGTTTTTAGAAAATGTTGATGGACAGTGTTGTTTGAGTGATGTCTGTTGATGATTGCGGATGTTGTTTTTAGAAAATGTTGATGGACAGTGTTGTTTGAATAATATCAGTTGATGATTGCGGATGTTGTTTTTAGAAAATGTTGATGGACAGTGTTGTTTGAATGATATCAGTTGATGATTGCGGATGTTGTTTTTAGAAAATGTTGATGGACAGTGTTGTTTGAGTGATGTACCAGTTGATGATTGCGGATGTTGTTTTAGAAAAGGTTGATGGACAGTGTTGTTTGAATGATACCAGTTGATGATTGCGCATGGATGTTGTTTTCAGAACATGTTGATGGACAGTGTTGTTTGAATGATACCAGTTGAAGATTGCGGATGTTGTTTTTGTGAAAATGTTGATGGACAGTGTTGTTTGAATGATATCAGTTGATGATGGATGTTGTTTTCAGAAAATGTTGATGGACAGTGTTGTTTGAGTGATGTCTGTTGATGATTGCGGATGTTGTTTTAGAAAATGTTGATGGACAGTGTTGTTTGAATGATACCAGTTGATGATTATGGATGTTGTTTTCAGAAAATGTTGATGGACAGTGTTGTTTGAATGATACCAGTTGATGATTGGCGGATGTTGTTTTCAGAAATCGTTGATGGACAGTGTTGTTTGAATGATACCCAGTTGATGATTGCGGATGTTGTTTTGAGAACATGTTGATGGACAGTGTTGTTTGGAGTGATGTCTGTTGATGATTGCGGATGTTGTTTTTAGAAAATGTTGATGGACAGTGTTGTTTGAATGATGTCAGTTGATGATTGGCGGATGTTGTTTCAGAACATGTTGATGGACAGTGTTGTTTGAATGATGTCTGTTGATGATTGCGGATGTTGTTTTCAGGAACACGTTGATGGACAGTGTTGTTTGAATGATACCAGTTGATGATTTCGCGGATGTTGTTTTGAGAACATGTTGATGGACAGTGCTGTTTGAATAATACCAAGTTGATGATTGCGGATGTTGTTTTCAAGAAAATGTTGATGGACAGTGTTGTTTGAGTGATGTCTGTTGATGATTGGCGGATGTTGTTTCAGAAACATGTTGATGGACAGTGTTGTTTGAATGATACCAGTTGATGATTGCCGGATGTTGTTTTGAGAACATGTTGATGGACAGTGTTGTTTGAATGATACCAGTTGATGATTGCGGATGTTGTTTTGAGAACATGTTGATGGACAGTGTTGTTTGAATAATACCAGTTGATGATTGCGGATGTTGTTTTCAGAAAAATGTTGATGGACAGTGTTGTTTGAGTGATGTCTGTTGATGATTGATTGCGGATGTTTTGTTTTAGAACATGTTGATGGACATGTTGTTTTTCATGTTGTTTGAATTGATACCAGTTGATGATTGCGGATGTTGTTTTGAGAACATGTTGATGGACAGATTCGCGGATGTTGTTTGAGTGATGTCTGTTGATGATTCTGTTGATGGATGTTGTTTTGAGAACATGTTGATGGACAGTGTTGTTTGAATGATACCAGTTGATGATTACGCGGATGTTGTTTTCATAAAATGTTGATGAACAGTGTTGTTTGAGTGATACCAGTTGATGATTGCGGATGTTGTTTTCAGAACATGTTGATGAACAGTGTTTGAATGATACCAGTTGATGATTCGCGGATGTTGTTTTCAGAACATGTTGATGGACAGTGTTGTTTGAGTGATACCAGTTGATGATTGCAAATGTTGTTTTCAGAAAATGTTGATGGACAGTGTTGTTTGAATGATATCAGTTGATGATTCATGGATATTGTTTTCAGAAAATGTTGATGGAGAGTGTTGTTTGAATGATACCAGTTGATGATCTTGGATGTTGTTTTAGAAAATGCTGATGGACAGTGTTGTTTGAATGATATCAGTTGATGATTGCGGATGTTGTTTTAGAAAATGTTGATGGACAGTGTTGTTTGAATGATATCAGTTGATGATTGCGGATGTTGTTTTCAGAAAATGTTGATGGACAGTGTTGTTTGAATGATATCAGTTGATGATTGCGGATGTTGTTTTTAGAAAATGTTGATGGACAGTGTTGTTTGAATGATACCAGTTGATGATTGCAGATGTTGTTTTCACATGGGGTAGATGGGCAGGAGTATATGGGTGTTGTCTGTTGATAATGTTTACAGTGGTTGTTTTGCAAGGGGTTGATGGACAGGAGTATATGGGTGTTGTCTGTTGATAATGTTTTACAGTGGTTGTTTTGCAAGGGTTGATGGTTGACAGTATTGTTTTAGTTTTGATGATGAGGTTTTGGATGCTGGTGTTTCAGGTGATTCATCGGACTCTGGCATCCCAAGTGTGCGGTCTGTTTGCGGAGGTGGAGAAGACCAACTTTGAGCGTCGACTGGCTGACATCCTGCCCCTCATACAACAACAGCTTGATCCTGACAGATACGTAGAGGTAGGCTTGACATGAATGTTATATCAGTACAAAGTGAAGATCTGGGTTAGAATTGATCTTCAGTAACCCATGCTTGTTGTACGAGGTGACTTAACAGGATCAGGTGGTCAGGCTCGCTGTCTGGGTTGACATATGTCATCATATCACACTTGCATAGATTGATGCTGATGCTGTTGATCACTGGATTGTCAGGTCCAGACTTGATTATTTACAGACCGCTGCCATATAGCTGGAATATTGCTGAGTGCTGCATAAAACTATTATTATTAAAACTCACTCACTCATTCACTTTGAACAGCATTTGGAAGTGAAACACATAACCTATGAGCATTTATGGATGTCAACTTATTTATTATGAGGAACACTCTGAACAACATTTAGATGTCCTTTAATGCATTTCTTAAGTGCTGGCTATGTAAAATCATGTTATTTTAAACGTGTCTTATTCCATAACAAAACTAAATTTAGGTATTGTCTTGTTGTCAATTAGGCATTATTAATGTCTCACTTATAAATTGTCACAGCCGAAGACCCGGTTCGAATCTCCACATTAGGCACAATGTGAAGCCCATTTCTGGTGTCCCTGCCGTGATATTGCTTATAAAAGCATTGTGAAAACCATACTCACTCACTCACTCACTTATAAATTGACTTCAGTACATGTATAAATACATATGCATATTGATGCCAAATCTTGTAAATATATACGTCCACATTAATAACTTCAAAGACTTAATGGGGCGGTGGGGTAGCCTAGTGGTTAAAGTGTTGTCCCGTCACGCTGAAGACCCGGGTTCGATTCCCCGCATGGGTACAATGTTAGAAGCCCATTTCTGGTGTCCCCTGCTGTGATATTGCTGTAATATTGCTAAAAGCAGCGTAAAACTAAACTCACTCACTCACTCACTCAAAGACTTTATGGTGTCCTCTTTCGTGATATTGCTGGAATATTGCTAAAAGTGGTGTAAAACTAAACTCACTCACTTGCTCAAAGACTTTATTCAGTCACTAACTCACACAAAACTAAGGATGACATCACAGAATTAGTTAAATTTCGTAAAACCAAATAACTCCCATTCTGTTACAGCAGTCTGGTACTGGCTGTAAACCAAATATAAAACAGTTGTCTGTTAGAAGGTATTGCCTAAGTACTTTTTCAGTTTTATGGAAATCTAAATGCCCAAAACATTGCTTATATAATATTATTGAGCCAATCATGTTATAGGTCACTTGCAATATAATAATAAACAAATAGTTGAGATGTAATAGGAATGACAAGTCTTTATGGATGAGGTACTTCTCTATTGTATAATAGCGACGTTTCGGTATACTTCTTATACCGCTTCCCTAAAGACATGTCATTCATACTACTTGCAACTTCTACAATGCCTCAAACAGTTTAGTTGAGATGTGAATCTTTTTTATGTTTGTTGGGGTCCTTCTGCGTTGAGTCAACATTGCTCAAAACCTGCTGGTGGCACTCTTTAACAAACTGTACATGCACTACAGTGTCTTAACTTCCTATGCTTCTCTGAGAGTTTCATTTTAATTGGAAGAACTGAGGCTTTATATAAACCCCCAGAAGATCTGGGATGGATTGCTTTATATAAACCCCCAGAAGATCTGGGATAGAGTTGGTCTTCAGCAACCCATGCCTGACATAACAGGCATCAAATGGAATTAGGTATTCAGGCTCGGTAACTTGGTTGATGCATGTCATCTTATCCCAATTGCTTACATCGATGCTCATGATGTCAATCATTGGATTATCTGGTACAGATTCCAGACTGCCATATATCCCGGATATAGCTGAATGTGGTTTTAAACAACAGACAAAAGCAAAAATGCCATTATAAGCACACACTGTTACGTGCAGACAGTTATCATACAGTGAGATTTAACCTATGTTCCACAGAAAGAAGGTGATCGGGAGTTCGAGCTAGACCACTGTCTTTACAGCCTCCTCGTCAGCATCTCCAAACTCCTCAACAACTGTCGCCTCGTCCGCAACAAGAAATACACAGACGGCATGAATACATTATGGGGTAAGTGAATCTCTGTGGAGAATCCATGGTAGACCTGGCCCTGTGATCTCAGTACTATGATTGATTTAAGCTTGTGACGTGGTGCGGGAGTTAGGGGCATCTTATCGTGAAGAGTGCTTTGTGAAATTGGCCCAGATCTCCAGTAACCTATACCTGTTATTAGAAGCAAAATGGGTTGGTGGTCAGACTCTTTGATTGAGTGTCACAGACATGAGACCCCTGGTGGTGTGTCCCAGACGTGAGACCCCTGGTGGTGTGTCACAGAAGTGAGACCCCTGGTGCTGTGTCACAGACGTGAGACCCCTGGTGCTGTGTCACAGACATGAGACCCCTGGTGCTGTGTCACAGACGTGAGACCCCTGGTGGTGTGTTACAGACATGAGACCCCTGGTGGTGTGGTTTGCTGCTCATGATATCAACCACTGGTTTTATGTTCCTGGCTCGAACATTCACAGGCCACATTGATGTGACTTGAATATAGTTGACTGCTGAGTTAACCATCACTCGCTCACATGCTCACTCCACTCCCTCGCTGGATCACTCCTCACCACTCACTCACTCACTCACCGCCTCACACACTCGCTTGCTGATCCCCTCCCACCCACCCACCCATGCACCCACACTCTCCACTCCACTCACTGCATCCCACTGGCTTGCTCCCTCCCACACTCACTCACTCACTCAGCCACTCACTGCCTCGCCCGCGGCCGCTTGCTAAATTCCACCCACCTCCACTCACTCACTGCCTCCCTCTCCCACTCCACTCACTCACTCACACAACAGTTTATTCTGTACTTTGTATAACACTGTTCTATCCTGTTTCAGAGCATGTCCAGCACCATCTGCTGTACCCCCATGCCTGGTCCCGCTTCCTGACCGCTTCTGCCAGCTGTTTGGTCATCAACTGTTCTCTGCATGGCCGCTAGATGATGTCCAGAGCCAGCTTGAGAGTGGTCAGTCAAAGGACTACCTGCTGACTGACACCAGGCAGAAGGTGAGACTTTGGAGACTCTTCAACCACATTTCGCTAATGCTCAGAAAATGCCAAAAATATGTGTCAACCAAGTCAGCGTAGTCTGACCTCCCGATCCCGTTAGTCGCCTTTTACGACAAGCATAGTCGCCTTTTATGACAAGAATGGGTTGCTGAAGACCTATTCTACCCCGGATCTTCACGGGTCAATTGGTCTTCAGTAACTATGCTTGTTGTAAGAGGCGACTAATGGGATAGGGGGGTCAGGCTCACTGACTTGGTTGCCACGAATCCCAATTGCGTAGATTAAGGCTCATACTGTTGATCACTGGATTGTGTCGTCCAGACTAGATTGTTGCCTGGAATAGCTCAATTGGGAGAGCATTAGACTGAAGATTAATTACAGATTGCCGCCATATAGCTGGAATATTGCTGAGTGCGACATAGAACTAAACTCACTCACTCACTGTCCATTACAACATCATGTAAGCGATGTTGGGATATTACTGATTGTATAGTACAGTACAACCAGAAATTATTGAGAATTTAAAGATTTTAATTTTTAAAATCTTTTTCACTCATTACTCACATATTAAATGTGAATATTAACAGAACATAACTCCAGATTCAAAGACAGGTGAACAGTTAGTATTTTGTCAAGTCACCATGGGCAGCAATGCAGGCTTCATACTACTGATCACAGAAGTTAGAAGGTCCATGCTGTCCCAATACCGGACCACCTCTTCGTTCATTTCAGAAAGATTTTTCAGATTTTTCTTATTGACACTTTCCTTCATAAGTCCCCAAACATTTTCTATTTGATTTAGGTCAGGGCTATAGCTTGGCCAATCTAATAATGTCATATTTTGGGTCCGAAACCAGGGTTGTGAATGCTTTGAAGGTTTTGGGTCGTTGTCCTGCTGGAAAATCCAAAACTTTCCTTGTTATAATACTCTAAAATCAACTTCCTCTTCTCTAAATCATCCATACTGAGGATCACTGAAAATGTCGTCTGCTAGCAAGTAAACAAAGGGGGATAACTCTTCACAAACTAATGAAAAAGGAGTAACAGAGTTGTCTCTCTTGAATGAAACCAAGCACTTGATAGCTGGTCAAGGTTGTTTATACTAGAAATCCAATTAAACATATTCCTAAAATTCTCAATAATTTCTGGTCATACTATACAATTATAAAATCATGGTTTGTGTGATCAATCAAGTTACAGCTTTAACGACTGAACATTATCTACTGGAATGTTGTTTCAGCTGAGAGGTCTCACTCAGTCTTTCATCACCCAGCTGCAGTCTGAACATCTCACGGAAGATCTCATTAACCAGGTATGTGTTTGCTTCCAATGAAATAAAGGAAATTACAGCTTTTGTATCTGTAATAAATAATATGTTTTCTTTATCCTTAGTAAGCAAACAATCTATGCAGGTCGTATGAGGCAAGTATACAGATTGAGTGGTCAGTCTTGTTGACTCATTGCATATCGTTAGAACCTGAATTATTGCTCTTTATATCAATCATTAGTTTGAGTCCAATTTGATTATTTATTATCTGTTACCACAAATGATAAACTAGGGCTCTAACAAACACTCTTACGAACTGGTGGATATGACAAACTATTTTTTGTCCCTGCTATTTGCTGTTTACTTCTTCCGAAATGTGTATGATGAACTAGCTTATAGCGAAATAAAATTAGTGGTCAATCTGAATTCGTTATAACCATAGTTTACTGTAGGTGGAATATTGCAATGAAGCACCATACAGTAAACAAACAAATATAAAACTCGCTCTGTATAAAGATTTTGAAGCACATACTGTTGTGACAGTGAATGAATGATATGTAATCTATGTGAGTGAGTGAGTGAGTTTAGTTTTACGCCGCACTCAGAAATATTCCAGTTATATGGCGGCTGTCTGTAAATATCATGGTTCCCATTGTAAATCGATGCTCGTTGATCTGAATTGTCTGGTCCAGACTTCCGATTATTTCCAGAGTGATTGCTGAAAACTAAACTCACTCACTGTAAATAATCAGTCTGGACCAGACAATCCAGTGATCAACAACACGAGCATCGATCTGCACAATTGGGAACTGATGACATGTGTCAACCAAGCCTACGAACCTGACCACCTGATCCCGTTAGTCGCCTCTTACGACAAGCATGGGTTAATGAAGTTTCATTCTAACCCGGACCTTCACGGGTTGTCATATAAGAACACCATAAACTAAACTATAGAGGTTGCATAACGACATCTTGTCAGTAAGGAGAAAACAAAGACAGAAGAACGTAAACAACATTTTTATCAAATAACACTGCGATATGTGCACAGCATCATTTCCTCAACTGTGGTATTTGATAAAAAACAGTTCGATGTTTATATATTGCATTGTTTTGTTGCAGTATACAATAACATAGCTTGTAACAACAGGGGGGGCCGGGGCTAGAGGGTGGAGTCGTCCGTCATTCTTTAATAAAGTAATTTAGTTAGCCAATAATGAGCAATCAATCAATGTATTGGCAGTTAATCCTTTGAAGGAAGGAAGTTGTTTTCACACAGGCACTTTACGACAGGGTGTATTCAGTATAGATGAGTGAATCTACACATATAAACACTAGCTGTTGACAAATCCGCTGTGTGTAGGTTTACCACCAAACAAGGATTACAGCAAGAGAGTAGTAATCGCTGTATTGCATGCAAGTTTGATTGCCTGAAAAAAAACACCCAAAGCCGGCACTGTTTTGAGGATACGAACAGAACTTTATTGTTACATAAGAAATATATATAAGCATTTGCTGTGTACTTAGTTAAAAACTGTATATACCTATGTACCTTTAGTTTATGGATTCAAATATATCAAATGTGTGTTTTTGATATCATAGCATATGTAATAGACATCATATTTACATGATTAAATATTGAGGTAAAAACCACAGAAATAGGATCAAATTGGATCAGTCACTTTACCATCCAAACATTTTAAAATCTGAAAAAGCCTACACTGCTGGGATACTTTATTACAATCAGACAAGAACTACCAGGGATAGTTTGAAATAACGACATCTGATGGGCATCCACCCTTCCTAATGTCCCACTGATTAGGTTGAAGAACTTCTGCCAAGCTGGACAGTAGCCCAGTCCCCGTATTTGTCACAGTCGAGGGAGCAGGGGCTGACCAGTTTGCAGCTAGGTTTCATTAGACTGTTGGCGAGAAACATTAATTGCTCTGGATCAGTGGCCCTTTAATGCTTTTCATAAACTAGAATCTCATAAACTATTTGTCTCTGGAATCATCTGTGATATGAACTTGTGTACTGATTTCTGTAGAAATTATTCAACGTGATCTAAAGTGAATAATGTATTAAACATTTAGTCACCTTTTTTTGTAATTGACCAAATTAATTAGTTACACTATAATTTATTAAAGAAGGAATTCGTTTGGGCTGTTTTTGCAGGGTGTTCCTCTTTTGCCAGTCGGGCAAGTTGTTTATTTAGGGATAAAGATGATCACCAGACCATGTTAATTAGCAAGACAATGGTGGGGGATGACTGAGGAGATGACCAAGCCAAGAAAGACACAAGTGGACTATCATTTGTATTTTTATGTTTAGCATACATAAATGACCCAGAAAACGAAAATACAGAGAACTTAACCATTGACTACAGAGAGAAAAAGACCGTCTTCAAGCAGGAAGGAAGAGCATGATAGAATATGGAGATGCTGTTTCTCATCTTGTTGGACTTTAAAGTCAGTTGTGTATGAACCATCATTGTGGACATTGATGATGTATGATTGTGATTGTGATTAGTACTTTATCAGTTTCTTATATTTACGCAGTTACATAATGCTAAACATTGTGTACAGTTATGTATGTTATGTGTTATGTTTGATTGTGATTAGTAATTTATCAATTTATTCCTTGGCTGGCAAGGGTTCACTTTTATGACATGTAATAAACCCTGCCCAGTCAGTGAGTCCGGTAAACTTTTATTTAATCCATGATGTAATGTAGGTCTATGTAATTTGTGTTTATACAAACAGTGACAAGGGAAACATTATTTGCGCTTTTGTGGATAAAAGTAAAACATACACTTAAAACAGTATTTTAGAAAATGCTAGCCATACTAGGGGGCAAATATGACAGTCAATATCAATTTTGGACACTTAGACGGCGAATAGAAACTACTTAATTTTTCCTTATCCTGACTCATGCTTTTTGCTTGTTTCCTTCTTCTTGCAAATGATAGTGGAACACTTGAAGGCCTTTTTGAAGCTCCCTTAAAAAAAGCGGACGTAAAATCACCCACCCAAGGTTGCCTCCCTTTACTGTTTTGGCGCCAAAATCAGTCTCATGATCGCCCATGCTTGTCACTCTCTCCTTCGCCCTAGAGGACGGTTGTGAGAGCGCCTGGGTCCCTGTACAGCACTATTTCCTTTTAATTTTAGGCCTTTACCGCAAATTAGCTGTATACGGCATTTAGGAAGATGTACTAGCAATATGGTTTGAAATTTTAGTGTAAATTATCTTTTTCTTCTCGTTGTTGACATGATATTTCATGTTGTTTACAATTCCTGAAAACTTGCATTCGTTGCAGGTACCAGTTGTCCGCATTTATTATGTCCTAATTGTACTTCTACATGTTCTTCCAGCTTTCACTGTCAACTTTGTCAGCATTTATCTGAAATTGAATTTAATAATTTTTTATTTTCCATTCTTAGACGTGCTAAGGACTGGTCTAGAAGGCTTTTACAAGTCATTTCTAAACCGAGTGAATGCGCTGATAGCCGTTTATTGTTTGCTGCTGAGATTCACCATTCCAGTGGTTTGTCGGTCGCTACTAGGGAGCTCCGGCTCCAGGAAGAGATCATCAACGTCTGAAGTAACCTCGTCGCAGTCTAAGAAGATTAGGTCATCGTCTTCACAGAGAAAGAAGTCGACTGCAGATAAGACTTTGGCAAAGTCTTCCCACTGTGCAGCACAGAAGACGAGGTCCTTCTCTGCAGATTCCTCCAGACGAAGTAGACGTGTATGACGATCCACCTATCCTCATTCCAGAAGTAGCAGTTAAGAAGAAGACGAGATCCTCTTCTACAGCGACATCAGCAGCCATCACAGCACAGACAGATGATCTATCAACGCAGACATCAGGTACCAGAGACGTCAGTTCTTCACAAGTGCAGCGGTCCTTGGAAAAGCCTCATCCCTCTCAGATGAGTCGTCATCTCTGCAGCAACAGATGCGTCATCGCAGAACTTCAACCCGGGTATCTTCATGCAGCAGTTCACTGAGCAGATGTTGGAGCTGATGGAACGAAGCTTCGCGCAGGAGAAGGCTGTGGCGAAGACCTCATCTACGACAAGCCTGCACAAAGGACAAGCAGTCTGCACTTCACATCCAGTTGAAGATAGAAGCCTGCGTGAAGGAGGAAGCCTGCATGAAGGGTCACTCACTTGACGATCATCTACGGCAACTTCCAGAGAACCTGGCAGCCCTGATAACGATGAGGCTGCTGTAGATGTTCCAGAAGAGCCTATTGAGGGAGCCTTCACGCAGAAGCAGATCACAAGGATCATCTTCGACCTCAGATACGGACAACCATCAGGAGCCTGCACACAGGCACTCCTCATCCCGTAGAAGAGAATCTACACCTTCACGAAGGCGCAGTGATACGCCTCAAGTCGCCAGGGAGGAACCTTATCCAAACCGGTCACCTGCGCGCAGGTCTTCAGGCAGGTCTCCACACGGGTCTCCATGCAGATCTCCACGCAGGTCTTCAGGAAGGGATTCACAGCGGCGACGATCTTCAGATTGAGAGGCCACTAGATCTGAAGATGATGGCGGAATCATATTCTCCGATTCAGAGATCAAATCTTGGATTGCTAATAGATTGGAACTTGCATCACCTTCTAAAGAGGATAATGAAGCATTCACGTACATGATGTCGAACGACGACTTTGATACACTCACCCTTCCACCCATCGATCTCAGCACAGCCTTCGGGAAGGCAACTAAGTTCCAGAGCCAAAGCGTCCCACCATTCAACGCCGAGAAGTTCTCACTTCATCACATGGAACCCTTCATGAAGGCCCTAGAGATAGATGAGAACTACAAAATCATCAACGACTCCTGATCTAGAACTTATAGGATAGAGGATAAGAAGCTAGCACAACTAGATACAACTACCAGACATACCTTCTTTGGTCTCGCCAGGTCAAGAGCCATCAATGAAACCCTCATCGCTAAGTTCAGGAACTTGACATCTGAAGAGGATGGGATGATTTACTCTGCATTGCTGACCCAAAATAAGGATCATCAGTTTATGTCCGAACATCTGGCATCCACGTCAGCGGGCTTGACGTTCCTGAGAAGACAAGGTTTGCTGTCTTCCCCGCAACTGGAGTGAGCAATTCACCAAGACGTTGTACAGAGCTCCAGAGTCAGCATCGTTCATCTTCGCAGGGGAAATTGATGACGTAACCAAAGAGTTACGAAAGAGTCAAGGGAAGTGATGATGATCAAGTCCATCGACACACTAGCCAGTGTTATTTGTCAGACGTCATAACGCTACTCCGGCAAGTCGAAATTCACGGGGATACAGAGGTAACCCCGGAAGAGGCCGAGCACCCAGAGGTGCCAGAGGATTTAGACGCTGATGGATGGGTTCTGGACGACTGGAGTCCTCCACCCCCAGCCGTTCCCATACAACCTTCAACAGTGGGTGGACGTCTGCAGCGCTACTGGGAGAATTGGGGAATTCTTCAGGTCGACTACGTATCCCAGATCCTATGGAGAGGATACAAGATACAACTACAAGCAGTACCACCGCTTACAAGCAACCCTCTGGCCCATATCTACGCTGCCGACCAGATGGAAAAACTACATGCCATCACAACTCTACTCGAGAAAAAGGCTGTCGAAGAGATAAAACAGGAGCTCATCATGCCTGGTTTTTATTCCCCAAGCTTCCTGGTACCAAAGAAACATTCCAAGGAAAAGTTCCAACTCATCTACAATATGAGGAAATCCAACCAAGATTATCTACGCAGACCCGCAAAGTTCAGGATGGTACATCTTCCTCAGCTGCGACAACTCGTTCATCTGTTAGACTACCTTCGCCAGCATAGATCTACAGGATGAGTATCTTCACATCTTGATTTATCAAGGAAATACCTACGATCCTCTTCAACGGACGTCATTTCCAATGGAAGGTGCCACCATTCGGAATATTGTCGGGCCCCTGGTTGTTTACTCGAGTGACAAAGCCGATCATCACATATCTACATCATCGAGTTCTACGCAGTGCATTTACCTGGACGACAGGATTCAAATTCATCAAGATCCCAGTCAACTCAGACTGCAACTGGACTTCACCATCAGGCTTCTCACTAGGATGGCTAGTAAATCTCCAAGTCGGAACTAGAACCAACACGGGATCTTCAATTCCTAGGAATGCAGCTCATCACGTTTGCGAATCGCATAGTCGTCCCAAAGAAGCTTTGCGTCAAGATACAACTAATGATATCTCAAGCACTACTCTCTCTGTTACCACTACGAAGTTGGCAGAGCCTACTTGGTCTTCTCATGTCAGCTCAAGACATGACTCGCAGAGGAAGACTACAACTGCGGCCACTACAAGTGTTCGTAATGCCCATCTCGACAGTCTGGACCCCTTCGTGTTACCGGACAGTCTGAAACCATATCTTCTATGGTGGACTCGGAAGTCGAATGTCTGCGGAGGAACCTATTTATCAGAGCCGGAGTGCAGCACTCATCTCTACGTAGATGCATGGCTTCAAGGATGGGGAGCTCACTTCGACAACGAAGTGGCAGCAGGGAAATGGTCGAGTCAGAGCAGAGCCTGCACATCAACATGCTCGAAATGAAAGCAGTAATAAACGCCTTACTACACTGGTCCAGCATACTAAGAAACGCACAGCTGATGATCCATACGGACAACTCCACAGTAGCGTTCTACATCAACAAACAAGGATCAACAAGATCAAGAAATCTTCTAGATCTCAGCTTTCATCTGTTCAGCATAATAGATGACCTGAACATCTACATAAAAGCATGCCACATTCTGGGAGCCAAGAATGTGATAGCAGACGCCCTATCTCGTCCAGCACAACCATCCCCGATGGAATGGATACTACATCCAGAAGCCTTCTGATGCATCATACAGATGATAGGATCTCGCTGATAGACCTGTTTGCCACAAACTACAACAAACAACTACCAACATTCGTCTCTCCGATTCCCGATCCACAAGCATGGGCAACAGATGCTCTAAGCATCTCTTGGGAAGGACTAAACGCTTACGCTTTTCCACCTCCAGCTCTAATACCGCAGGTGTTGCAGAAAATCAAGCAGACGAAGAAGCTGCAACTGATAATGGTCGTGCCCTATTGGCCGGCGAGGGTGTGGCTTCCCATCCCCATGCAAGAACTCGGAAGTCCAACCCTGCAAATGCCAGATTGGCCGAACCTACTCATCCATCCACACAACAATCAAGCACACGGGAATCCCACAGTGTTCCAGTTACACGCATGGAGCGTATCAAGACTTGCTTGAAGAAAAGAGGATATTCTGCTAGAGCAGTGAAAGCAGTGACACTAGCTCTACATAGATCAACCCGCAACTTGTACGACGACAAGTGGCAGAGATTTAAGGAATACGTTTTGAGGAAGGGCTTCACAGCGATGAAACCAACATATCCTCAAGTGGCGGAAAACCTATGTTATCTAAGACAAACAAGGCGGTTAAAAGGTTCAACACTCTTTACATTCCCAGCGGCTCTCAGCACGGTTATCACCATGAAGACAGGTGTTAAGCTGACCAAAGTACCAGAGATACTGGCACTACTACGCTCCTTCAAGTTGGAAGACCAACAACAGAAGTTTAAGACGCCTGCTTGGGATCTCAACGTAGTCTTGCAGCATCTCACCAGTGATGCTTATGCCTCACTAGAAAGGACATCCTACGAGATTTTAACACACAAAACTCTGTTCCTGATCGCTTTGGCAACAGCAGCACGGATGTCAGAGATACATGCTCTGGACTTTGAACGAATACGATTTGATGTACATCGTAACATCGTACATCTAGCACTGAGATGGGACTTCATAGCAAAGAACCATCTGCCCAGTCAACCAGACAGACAGTTCCACATCCCAGCACTCTCTACAGTCCTTGGGCCACATGATATCCAGGATCTATCCTTATGCCCAGTCAGAGCATTAAAAGTCTACCTACAAAGAACTAACACGAGGAGACGAAAATTCAAGCGCCTTTTCATCCCTCTATCCACGGAGACAACCACAGAAGTCTCACGTACAACAATATCCATTTGGATGAGAGCCGCCATCTTAAGGGCCTACAAAGCAGTAGTCAGAGCTCTGGCATCGACACTCGCTCTGCATGGAAACTGCTCCATCTTGACGATAATGGAGGGCTGCTTTTGGAAGTCAGAGACATTGCTACCTAGGACGTCTCCGGCATTCACCAGCTTGGGCCTCTTGTTGTAACACAACAATTGACGGTTCCACAATGCTGCTGAGATGGATCTCACCCTTTTTCACGTGACTTGTAAAAGCCAACGCTCTGGAGAGCTAGAGCTTTAGAGTCCATGCGCACGTCTAGGGCAGGCCAGCATGAGTGATAGACCCTGTACTTGTAAAGGACTTACTTGTACATGAAGAAGGGTGGCGTCTTCACTTGATGCGAGCATCAAGACATGGAGTTGCATAAATCCACACCTTATGTCAGGAGAAGAGTTCCAGAGAATATGACAAGTTGTGGTCCCCCCAGACTCATCAGAGGAAGCTGGAAGAAAAGGATCAGCACAAGTGCCATAAGAAGTTCCCAGAGGGGGTATGCAGGACGTAAATCAGCAACCTAAGAATCCAGAAGTGGCCTGAACCACCATCGGTTCCGTTGGATTCTACAAGCAAAAAGCATGAGTCAGGATAAGGAAAAATATGTAATTTTCTGACTAAAATTGATATTTTATACTTATCCTCATTCATGAGGTCACAACTCCCAACCTCCCCTCATGGCAGTCTGGATTTTCCTATAAATCCCGGTGTCGGGCTCATAAATGGAGAGAGTGACAAGCATGGGCGATCATGTGACTGATTTTGCCGCCAAAACAGTAAAGGGAGGCAACCTTGGGTGAGTGATTTTACGTCCGCTTTTTTTAAGGGAGCTTCTAAAAGGGATTCAAGTGTTCCACTATCATTCGCAAGAAAAAGGAGACAAGCAAAAAGCATGAGTCAGGATAAGTACAAAAATATCAAATTTAGTCAGAAAATTACATCTTTAAACATGATACCAACTTCAAAAATGTATCTCTTCACGTGTCAGATGCAGTTACATTAATATAAAGCACAAATGAATAATATCAAAATACGGCCTATTCCTGCAGTTCTCATGAATAAATATGTCACATGCAAGATGCATTATGTATATCAACAATAAGAACTCGAACAGAACAAAAGATGCGTGAAATAGTCTATACACTCATGGGAAGCCTGGGTTGAGGATCCGGGGTAGAATAGGTCTTCAGCAACCCATGTGTTTGCCATAAAAGCGACTATGCTTTGTCGTAAAGGCAATAACGGGATCGGGTGGTCAGTTTAAGCTGACTTGGTTGACACATGTCATCGGTTCCCAAATCGCGGAGATCGATGCTCATGCTGTTGATCACTGGATTGTCTGGTCCAGACTCGATTATTTACAGACCGCCGCCATATAGCTGTGATATTGCTGAGTGTGGTGAAAACTAAACTCACTCACTCACTCACTTGGATTGAGGAGAAATTGAAAGAAGTGGTTGTAAATTCCTTCCTAAATTTCCAAGAAATTTTTGGAAATCACCATTTCCAAATTGGAAATTTTTCTTGTGCTAACCCGGACCTTCACGGGTGTAATCTATGTGACACACATTCAGCTGTTTTGCACCAAGCAAACGAAAATAAATATAACACCTGAAATAATCCAGTATTTGTTTGTGTCCTGACTACAGATTGTGAAGAACATGCTGTATGTTGGGAAAGTCATCAAACTCCTGCCTTCCTCCAAGGAAGACCCAGCAGGCCTGGAGGAGGAGCCTGAGGAATCTGGGGGGCCCACCAAGGTCAAACAGGGGCTGTCGGTCAAGTGGATCGTCAAGCGTATGGTGCGGGAAGCTCACCATGAGGCCATCAATAATACCAAGGTTACTTTGAAGGTGAGGGTCAAGAATGAGTTTTTTACAAATTTAACGATGTATTTTTCACCATGTAAGTGGGGCAAAATGGATAATTAAATGTTGTTTGCTAGGTTTCTGTCATTAGTTTGGGCATTTTTCCAAAGTCTTTTGCAACTTAAAGTTGTTCATTGGACCATATCTCTACGCCCAAGTATATGTATATATATTTAATTGTATTTTTGTGTTTAAGGAGGTAGTCTGAGTCTTGTTTATACAACCAAGAATGCAAAAATATGTTAGAAAAAAGCTTCACATTTATCAAAAGGATGCCTTTGATAATAAACTAGTTAGAATGTGTGAGTGAGTTTAGTTTTCCGCCACTTTTAGCAATATTCCAGCAATATCACGGCAGGGGACACCAGAAATGGACTTCACACATTGTACCCATGTGGGGAATCGAACCTGGGTCTTTGGCATGACGAGAGAATGCTTCAACCACTGGGCTACCCCATTTAACTAGTTCAAAGTATGTCTCACTGACTTCCTCCAATGTCGTGTTACAGAGAGAGGGCATCTTCAAGTGGTTGGCGGCTGTGTGTCTGGAACAGGACAGGTCATCGCTACAGGACATCCTGAAGATTGTCATGCCAGCTCTACATAGGGAGATGACAACACAGGCCAATGCAGGTCAGTTGGAAAATGTTCTTGGTTTCAGTGAATGAGTGAGTGAGTGTGCTTTATTGCCACTTTTAGCAATATTCCAGCAGTATCACGGCAGAGAACACCAGAAATGGGCTTCACACATTGTACCCATGTGAGGATCAACAGGCCAAACTTTTCCCCTGGCCTAACCTTTCCCGGGGAAACTTTGGCCTTGGACAAACTTTCCCCCTAGGCTTAATCTTCCATGGGGAAAGTTTTTCCTAGGCCAAACTTTCCCAACCCTTGAATCAACTTTCAAGGCTACTTGTTTCCCATCCTTGTTCTTATATCAAAAGGGGGATATTCTGGCCAAACTAGGCTATTTCTTCCCCAACCTTGTTTTCATGTTTATGTTTGTCTTGAAAAAGTCAGAAATGAAAACAAGACATAGCTATTCACGTGAACACATTGATAAGATATTCATGTTGATGTCAAGTTCCAATAACAATTTACAGGTCATCTTCATCCTCATATATATATCATGTACATGGTTCACCTTTTGTTTCAATATCCTTAGATAAAGTGAGATTAAAAATAAAAGCTAGCATAAAAGCCGAGATATTATATCAGTACTATTGTTTTATATTATCATTTACTTATTTTTATATTTCAATAATTTACTTATCCCCACTTACTCCAAATTGGCTTATCTCAAAATCATTGCTATATTCGAAACTTTAACTAAATACACAGTTTTTACTTGGATGTCCATATCCTTTCAAAATTTTATTCCCTCACTCATGGCTTTAAATATGGCATCCACATCGGCGACATCAACTTAACAGTTGGAAGCACATGTAAACATCAACACAACAACAACCCAACACAATATCTATATCAAAAGCTGTATCATCTATCATTCCACTATAGTGCCTTATTCTAAATTCAAAAGACAAAGTTTGATAAGGGGTATACTTGGTCCATGGATATCTGAATTATATTTCATTCACCAAAGTGATTATGGAATAGTAAACAAGCTTATGTGAATAATGTTACATTACATTTATACATAAATACAACAAAGATTAGATAATAAACAGCATGATAAGAAAGCAAACAACCTGTGTATATTACATCTTATTTACCCATCTTATTTACCCATCAAATGTTTACCTCTTGTGGTGACATGATTTGGACAGATGAAAAACTAATGCAATGTGTCTTCCTTGGAATGGTGGCAGGAGCAGGATGGATATAAGTAAAAATTACTGTCAGTTTATAAGAGCAAGGGTGGGGAAGAAGTAGCCTAGCTAGGCCAGAATCTCCTCCTTTTGATATAAGAGCAAGGGTGGGGAAGAAGTGGCCTAGCTAGACCAGAATCTCCTCCTTTTGATATAGTGGCCTAGCTAGGCCAGAATCTCCTCCTTTTGATATAAAAACAAGGGTGGGGAAGAAGTGGCCTAGCTAGGCCAGAATCTCCTCCTTTGATATAAAAACAAGGGTGGGGAAGAAGGGGCCTAGCTAGGCCAGAATCTCCTCCTTTTGATATAAAAACAAGGGTGGGGAAGAAGTGGCCTAGCTAGGCCAGAATCTCCTCCTTTGATATAAAAACAAGGGTGGAGAAGAAGGGGCCAAGCTAGGCAACAAGGGTGGGGAAGAAGTGGCCTAGCTAGGCCAGAATCTCCCCCTTTTTATATAAGAACAAGGGTGGTGAAGAAGGGGCCAAGCTAGGCCAGAATCTTCCCCTTTTGATATAAGAGCAAGGGTGGGGAAGACGTAGCCTAGCTAGGCCAGAATCTCCCCACTTTTCATAGAAAACAGAACAAAATATCCTAGTTTAAACAAGCCTAGCCCAAACTTTCCCCGGGGCAAGAATATCCTAGAACACAACCTCCCCAGGGAAAGTTTGGCCTTGGACAGATTCTTCCCGGGAAAGTTTAGACTGGGGAAGAAATGGCCTGGTACACCGGGTCTTCGGACTGACAAGCGGAGGCTTTAGGCATTAGGCTACCCCACCACCCTGTTCTTGGTTTCAAAGTAGCTAGAAACAAAATATCAAGTTCAGATTCTTCCTTGGAACATAGGCAGATCTGCAAACCATTACAATTAGTTAGTAAAACCATGAATTTATATAATGTTATTGTTATGATGATTATGCACCAGACTCGAGTCACTGACCAAAATAATGATCATTGTGATAATTATATGCTTGATTCCTGTCACTGATTATAAGAATTGTTATGTACTAGATTCCTATCACTGATTGTAAAAATGGTTATATACCAGATTCCTGTCACTGATTTAAGAATGGTTATATACCAACTTCCTGTCACCAATTATAAGAATCATACTGATTATGATGAGTATATATACCGGGCACCAGTCACTGATAATGATGATTATATACCAGACTCCAGTCGCCGATTTTAATGATAATATACCAGGCTCAAGTCACTTATGATGATGATTATTATATACCAGTCAACGGCCACTGATAGTGATGATTATATACCGAGCACCAGTCACTGATAATGATGATTATATACCAGTCTCCCGTCACTGATTATAATGATAATATACCAGGCTCAAGTCACTTATAATGTTGATTATCATATACCAAGCACCAGTCACAGACAACCATGATTATTATATACCAAGCAGCAGTCCCTGATAATGATGATTATTATATACCAGACTCCATTCACTGATAATGATGATTATTATATACCAGACTCCAGCCTGAAGACTCTGGCCCAGGAGGTGATGGACCTGCTGAAGAAGCTGGTGGGGGTGGAGGTGTTCTCCCAGGTGTACGCCACAGTGCAGCAGACCAGAGCTGAGAAGCGGGCAGGGAAGAAACAGAAGAGGGCAGTTGAGGTGCGATATGCTTTGAACAATAGTCTAAAGGATCTCATACTCCTCAGAACACATTTGTTGGACATTGCATTAGAAGTGTTTCTGGAATGTAGAAATTTGTGTGATATTTTGGGTGATTTTTTTTTTATATAAAGTGCTTGTATCCATGCACTTGTGCATACTCAAAGCGCTGAGACATTATTACCATATTGTCACGGCGCCAGCTACCATCCTGGATAGAAAATGATCCAGAATAGTAAGCGAATACACAACCCGACTGTTGGATACAACCATTTATTAAAGCTAAGTACCCGCTCAAGCATGAATGAACTTGCACCTCAAGCACAACAACAAGCCGCTAAAACAAGAAGAAGCTAGCTAAGTAAACTCGCCTTAATAGACTAGCTCAGGCATCAGACCATATAGTCCTGATCAGACTATCCATGTGTTTACTCTACATGTGCCCTGATCAACCTATACATGTGTTCACTCTATATATATATGTGCTGATCAGCCTATGCATGTGTTCACAGGCTGTGTCACAACCCGAGGTGGCTGCCAGGAGGAAGATAAGGAAATACCAAGTGAGGAAAGAGTCGAAAAAGAGAAAGATTCAAATGATGAAGACTGGGAAAAATCCCAAGAAGTTGAAACTGAGGAAAATGGCAATTCTTGAGGACTGAACAAGATTGTACTTGCTGTTATGTGTGATGGTCAACCCCAGGTGTATAATATGTACATAAAAACCAATGACATTGTACATACAATAAATCGTACCATATTTCTCTTCCAATTTTTGTGATTTTTGAAACTAGAGTTCTGTTCCAAACTTTGTCACTGTAACTATGAGGTAATTATAGAGAGTGATGCCAAGACAGTGTTGTCTACCTAGAGAACTTACGTTCACAACAGTCATATAATGATAATAAGTCATCTTCTATAGCGGACAGTCTCCAAACAAGTGATTGCTCGTGGCACTTCATCAGAATCTGATGATTATTACCCTGCATAACCCAAGCTGCCTGTTAGGCGCTAGAAGGTTGTAGTCACATGACTTTATCCAACCGGGTACCCATTTTATGCTGGGTGAACAGAGGCAATTTTGAACAAACTCACTTGCCAAAGGTGAGACCACATGTATCACACATGCTTCGTTGTGGGGCAGGACTGAACTCCTAGAACTCTCAGGAGTCAAACTGCCAAACACGGTCACCCATCCAAGGACTGTCCAGGTCGATGTTGCTTAACTTCAACTGATTCGTGACCTGAGCTCTTTCACAGTACCACACGCCACCACCATATAGTAATCAGTTTGTCTATCTGTCCATCTGTAATGAGTTATAGGCCCGATTATTTCTCTAAAACTAATAGGTAGATTTTCATGAAACTTTTCAAACACAATGACATGGCTGATACCTGATGCCTTTTGCAATTTACGTAGTTGTAGAACATTTATTTTTCTGTTTCCATGGCAACAAATTTGACATATATCCTGAGGTTGGTGATTTTCAAGGTGAGATCTACAAAACAACATTCTTGTATTATCCTATCTTTTAAAAATATGGACCTGAAAAAATATAAAAGATCTGAATTTGATGGTATGGTTTTGATCAACAACTGCTCTTAATTAGATAGATTAGATTGAAATACTCAACAAGTCTCACAGGAGTTAAGCCCATTTCTGGTGTAATTAGATATGGAATATGCTAAAAGATGGAAACTACTCTCAACAAGTCTCACTAAGGACACATGTCCTTTTAGGTCTTGCTTAATATGACAATCAGATGAGAGTTTGTCAAATTTTGTGGCAAATCTTCTAATGTCTCTGGTCAAAGTCATACCTATATTTACCTGTATTTACCTGCATACCGGTTAGATATATCTTCTAATGTCTGCTGGTTACGATTTTTATTACAATTTGCATATTACAATTTACGTCAATTTATATTACAATTTACGTTTTATTATTTACGTCTGTTTTTATTACAATTTACGTCAAGTTTATTACAATTTGGTATTTCAATTTGCGTTTTATTACAATGCTTGTCGTAATATCGGACTAATAGGGGACTAACGGGTGGTCAGGCTCTCAGACTTAGTCGACATATGTCATTGTATCCCAATTGCGTGGATCGATGCTCATGTTGTTGATCACTGGATTTTCTGGTTCAGACTCGATTATTTACAGACCACTGCCATATAGCTGGAATATTGTTGAGTGCAGCGTGAAACTAAATTCACTCACTCACTCGCTGAGTACAGCATGAAACAACAAACCCACCAACTAATTCCAATCAAAATATATGAGCTGCCAGTAAGTGAAATATATGCTGTATACCAGGGCTGCAACGATTCACCCAGACCTCGATTCGATTCGATTCTCGATATTGGACCCTCGATTCCATCATTTTCAATTCGATTCTTCGTACAAGTCAAAACATCACATTTCATTTCACTCTCATTGGATAATAAGCCCGCATCAACCAGTCACGTTTCGCCTTATTTCAGTGTTCGAAACTGCTGGAGTCAAAATTACGTTCTGTTTGTGTGGAAATAATTTAAATAGGTATTCAAATAGCGAATCGGAATAGTTATAATGGTTATCGAAAATCGAAACTCAGCTGTCAGATTCGATTTTCGATCCGAATTGTTGCAGCCCTACTATATACTTATGATATTACAGGATTTCCGGCCATTGACATCAGTTACTTGTAACTCATCCTTACCTATTATTACCTTAAAGGCCGGGGCGCAAACCTCCAAATTTCCCATGGGTTTCCAAATAGTCCCCCATTGGCACTCCACAGCAGCGTAGATGTTATCTGCCCATGAGTGGCAGGACTGTAACGGCTATGGGTGCCTGACGAGAGCCTGGTGGGAGTCAAAGATTATTCTTGGAATTTATTAATAGAACAAACAGGTGCCTGATAGTAAATGTCCAACAACCCTTTCCCTTTCATTTTATGAAGGGGCGGTGAGGTAGCCTAATGGTTAAAGCGTTGGCTCGTCACGCCGAAGACCCGGGTTCGAATCCCCACATGGGTACAAAGTGTGAAGCCCATTTATGGTGTCCCCCGCCGTGATGTTGCTGGAATATTGCTAAAAGCGGCGTGAAACCAAACTCACTCAGTCAGTCATTTTATGAAGACAAAAATGACAGACTCATTTGACAAGCTATATGATAATTTACTTATTCATAAAAATCAACTTTTTCTCAAAAGCTATTTCTAATACAAACAAATAATATTTACAACAAAATTCAATCATATTACTTCAGTTATACTCTATGTAAACAACTTATGTCCTTATAGCAATATAATATTTACAATTTGTTTTGCTGTCAAATAATTCTCTAAATTCAATACATAATATTTATAACATTTATGGTATATTACCCTCATAACAGAATAATACATTCCACTTGAAAACAGCATCTCGAATAGGAGATAGCACAGAATATAGCAATGATAACATATGCGTAACGTTCATATAACATCAGTTCCAGGTATGTGACATGTATGGCTTATTTGCAGGATTCGGAGCCATGTCCGAACTAACGTTATGACGCAATCTGGCATCAAGTCACGTTGGTGTCTGGTTCCAGTCCACACCAGGTGATGTCTGTTGAAATGTCTCTGTAATGCCTGTCTCTTTCTTTCTTGATATCCAGCATCTCTCCATACACCTCGGTGAAGAAGCATGGTCCAAAATCGCTTATAATGTCCCTTTCTAAGTTCAGAATTTCTCGTGTTCTCTTGAAGGATATCTTCTTCCTAACACATTTGCCTGTTCACTGCGTCTGTTATGCATGGTTTGCACAAACAGTGAGGACACTCATCTGCATCAGGTCTCTGTTGTATGACAAACTCGGGGTCACCATCAGGCTCATTCATACCCGGAACTGTTGTCACTGTTGCCTCGGAATGGGGAACTTCTATTATATCCCAGTTATTCTGATGAAATAGAATAGATATAGTTTCTCTGTGGAGAGGAGTAACCATCAATGTGAGAGAGAGTCTTTCTTCTTCAACTTTCATGATCGCTGTTTCTCGAGGTTATGCTATTTTTCACAGCTTTCTCAAGACTTTATCTATGAAGTAACACTGTAGAACATGTGCTATATTTGGGATTACACTTTCTTAGTAAAGTACAGATTCTAGTACTTTTGGGGGGTTGAGTCCCCATCCGGAATTCGAACCCACAACCTCAGAGTCAGGCACCTAATCGCCAGAACACAAAGTCAGACGCCTAGAACGCTCAGCCACCGCGGCTTCCACAAAATGGAAATGGACAACTGGTAGTCTAGACTGCGGACTTTGTGTACCCCTCTGATAAGTGTTAATTGGCACGGCTCCCACTGCCGAAAGCTATGAAATACACAATGCCATTTTAGAAAGTGGTCAAATGTAACATATGCTATATTTGGGATTACACTTTCTTAGTAAAGTACAGATTCTAGTACCTTTTGGGGGTTGAGTCCCATCCGGGATTCGAACCCACACCCTCAGTCAGGCACCTAAATGGCATTGTGTATTTCATAACACTGTACAAATAATTAATAGTGACAGTAAAGATAAACAAGTCAGCAAATAAGAGGGTCAGCAAGGAAAAATGAATTATCTGATGGCAAGATATAATTACTTCAGGTCAAAATAATCTCCCAAGATATCTGTTCCATACATTGCGCCTGTAATTGTAGGAGACAGGTTTGTAATTCCTGTTGCTGCGACATCTCCGGTCCCTGCCTGGCGCTCGGCAGTACAAGAAGGACTGGTCGGCTCGGAGTCAGTATAATGTGTCTGTCATGTTCATGCTTCACTGCGGCATGGTATCTCAGTGGGCTAGCACTATAAAACCAGCTTTAGTCTGGGCTAGTACAAGCAGCCGCACATACACATACACACGCATGCACGTCGTCATATGAGCGAAATATTCTCAAGCACGACGTTAAACTCAATTTCACCTCACCTCACCTTGAATGCCACTCAGAAGTATAGCTTCTATTCACATTTTCATTCCAGTGGCAAACAGCAAACTGAGACTTCATATTGTAAATACTGCCAGAAAATGAGATTCGTTTGTCTTGAAAAATATTCATAACATTATTGAAACTTTCAACATAGAAAGTATCTTTAGCCAAACTGAAGTCGTCTGCATACTTGAAAATGATGGAATTTGTGATAACACCTTTCAACAATGACACAGCTTTCTCGCTTATGAGCACTATACGTGATGGTTCACAGTTCGGATCTTCCTTGCACCTAGACGATGGGCTGCAATCAGAATGATTGTTCTTATAATGTTCGATCACATTTATGAGTGAGGATCTCAGATTCTCGCTGTCACCGTGACAATTCCGAATGGCATGATGGAAGTGTGTAGCAACAGGTTGCCCTTTGTCTGACAGCTGTTCATGCCAGGTACTGCCATGCTTGTACTTTGGCCCAGTAGAGACACCAGACATGGATTTGGCTACTGATTTTGTGCCATGCCATATGTCATTTTGGTTAATTGTTCCACTGTCCCGAATGAGTTTAATTATGTCGTAAACGTTCCCCTGGATTATGGTTGCCAGTTTCCTGTGGCATCACAGTGACATACAGAAATGAAAGGAAAAAAGTCATAGTTATATATCCTTAGTGGTTTGCCTAAAGAGTGACGCAGTTATCTCCCCTAGCCGTGATGTCACAGCATGGTTCTCCAGGCCCTCATAATTTTTCTGTATGGTCCAGAACATAGGCTCCCTATGCGGGTCAGAAAATTGATAAACTGGGCCCCGGTTTA